ATGCAGACCTGTTGTGTAGTCTTAGTAGGAACTGTCCTTAGAGGGCTGCCTGTGAGCCAAGAAGAGTTGGGGACATTAATGAGCAATGGTCAGGAATCAGCAACATAGGCTCTGGCTAGTCTCAGCTCCATCTAGCCTTTCAGAAGGCAGCTATCACCAAGACAGTACTTGCTCTTTTTCCTGTGGGGAGCTGTGGAGTTCTTTGTGCAATGTCCACTTTTTTCAGACTGTGATCCTGGAAGGCAAAAGGAATAATGATTGTTTGGCTGGCACTAGCAGTAGCGGCATAAGGGACACAGGTGGCATAAGGGACACAGGTGGCGCTGTGGGTTAAACCACTGAGCCTAGGACTTGCCAATCAGAAGGTCGGCGGTTCGAATCCCTGCGACGGGATGAGCTCCCGTTCTTCGGTCCCTGCTCCTGCCAACCTAGCAGTTCGAAAGCACGTCAAAGTGCAAGTAGATAAATAGGTACTGCTCTGGCGGGAAGGTAAACGGCGTTTCCGTGTGCTGCTCTGGTTCGCCAGAAGCTGCTTAGCCATGCTGGCCACATGACCTGGAAGCTGTACGCCGGCTCCCTCGGCCAGTAAAGCGAGATGAGCGCCGCAACCCCAGAGTCGGTCACGACTGGACCTAATGGTCAGGGGTCCCTTTACCTTTACCTAGCAGTAGCAGCAACACAAAGCTTACCTGCACCTGAGCCTGTGTCACTACCCCACCCCCATCCCACTAAGTGTGTGTACTTAGATTTGCATGGGACATTAGCTTTGGGAGAGGAAGGCTTTGTAATGCAAAAAGTTTAACCAAAAAGGTGTTGTCGTTGCTTCGTTTTTTGGGGTGCCTTGTCCTTTCCTCCCTTGCTGGGGTAACAGAGCAACAGTTCCCGTTGCATTGTACTTCCCATATAATACTATTTAGAGGTACCCATAATACTATTTAGAGGATAAGCTTTTTGTGGAAAGTGCTCTTTCACTTTAGGAACATATGGTACTGTGCTATACTGAGCCAGATCGTTGATTCACCTTCTGTCTCCACCAATTGGCAGGAGCTCTCCTGTGTTTAGGAAGGAGCCTCTCCACCACACTCACCGTGCTACCTGGAATTGCCAGGTATTGAACTTGGGACCTGGATGTTATAATAATAATTTATTATTTATACCCTGCCCCTCTGACTGGGTCTCCCCAGCCACTCTGGGTGGCTTCCAACCAAATATCAAAAACAATACAGCGTCAGACATTAAAAACTTCCCTAAACAGGGCCACCTTCAGCTGTCTTTTAAAAGTAAAATAGTTTTTTATTGCCTTGACATCTGAAGGGAGGGCGTTCCACAGGACAGGCGCCACTACCAAGAAGGCCCTCTGCCTGGTTCCCTGTAACCTCACTTCTTGCAGTGAGGGAACCGCCAGAAGGCCCTCGAAGCTGGACCTCAGTGTCTGGGCAAAACGATGGGGATGGAGACGCTCCTTCAGGTATACAGGACCGAGGCCATTTAGGGCTTTAAAGGTCAGCACCAACACTTTGAATTGTGCTCAGAAACGTACTGGGAGCCAATGAAGATATTTAAGGACCAGTAGATGTTCTACCACTGAGCTACTGTCCTTGCGTAGCTCCCACCAGCAAGGTGAATCCCAGTGGTACAGGTTTTCCAGAAAAATTTGGACTGGAAAATTTATGTTGCCCTAAGGCATTTGAGTTCTGATTTAGCGCATTTGTTTGACTTACTTTTTATTTTTGTTTATTAAATGTGTGCTGTATTAATTTTACATGCTGTATGAACATCTCCAAAGGTTTTCCAATATCCAAAAGTATTAGAATGGAAATTTGCCCCCCCCCCAGGTGCTCCAAATGTAGTTTGAAACATTGTATTCAAGCAGATTCAAAACTTCACTTGAAAATTATTTTTATTGGAATATTTGTAAATAATTTAAGGTTTAACAATTCAATAGCGCATACTTTCCTTCTGTGGCAGAGGAGGGATGAAGGCACTGCAAATGTTAACAAATGAACTTTTATCATGCTGAAAAAACAAATAAGTGTGCTTCCTATGGTCACCTTATTCCAGAGTATTGTATCTATTCAATTTGATTTCAGTTGTATTAATTATGTTACATGACATACCAAATTTAAGGAAGACACTGACAAACTGGTGTGTGTCCAGAGGGGGATGACTAGCTAGAATGGTCAGTCTGGAAATACATGCTGGACAGAAGTAGCTGGGTATGTTTAGCCTGGAAAAAATAAGATTAAAGGGAGACACAGTGGGGGTGAAGAAGATAGAGCAGCGGTTTGACTTCACCCCCGAAGGTGCATTTCATTGTCTCTTGAGACAGACAGATGCCAACAACAACAATTGACTAGTTGCATGGGGTGGTGGAGTCAACAGTGGATTGGCTTGGGTAGTACGTTGGTTCAGGGGGCTTAACATCAAACCCTAAAGATCTCCAGCCAGCATAAATATAGGCTTGCACCCTTAGCCATCTCTTTGATAAACTGAAAAGCCCCCAATACTTGAGCATTTCTTAGTAGGGTCATCTTCCCTGTCATCTTCCTGGCTGCGCTTTTTTACATCTTTTCCAACTCTATATCATCTTTTTGTGATGGAGCAACTGAAATTGTAGATAGTATTCCAGATGCAAGTGCATTATAGGTTTATTTATATAAATGTGATATGATAGCAACTGCTTCATTTTAAATTCCTTTTGTAATAATTCCGAGCACGGTATTTTCCTTTTCCATTACCACCATGCTCTTAGCTAATGATTTTCACAGAGCTGTATGCACTGTGGTCATAATATACATTTTTTTGTTTAGTCACCACGTGTTCAGATCTCATCAGTATACAGGATTTTCCCCTCCAACGGGTATCAGTTTTCACTTAACTTGCACTGAACCTAAGTTTCATTGACTATTCATGCAGTTGAGAGAGATTTTTCAGCTTCTATTAGTCGGCAACCTGAATAATTTGCTGTTCTCTGCAGACTTGGCCATTTTAGTGTTCACTCTTTGTCTCCAGATCATTTATGAACAAATTAAATAGTATCAGTATCTTATATAATGATGCATTGTACTTCCCATCATTGAAATAATTTTATGCTATTTCAATTCTTTGCTTCCTGTTCTTTAGCAAATTAATGAATCTCTGTTATTTCTTCCATGACTGCTAAATTTACTCAGAAGACTTTGGTGAGGTACTTTATCAAAAGCTTTTTGGAAGCCAGAGTACATAATCTCTACTGAATCATGCATATCTACATGCTTGTAAAGCCCTAAAAGGCTTTGGCCCTGTATACCTGATGGAGCTTCTCCACCCCCATAATTCAGCCCGGAGGGGCTTTCTGGTGGTTCCCTCACTGCGAGAAGCCAAGTTACAGGGAACCAGGCAGAGCGCCTTCTTGGTAGTGGCACCTGCCCTGTGGAATTCCTTCCCATCAGATGTCAAGGAAATAAACAACTCTCTAATTTTTAGAAGACATTTGAAGGCAGCCATGTTCAGGGAAGTTTTAAATGTTTGATGTTGTATTATGCTTTAATTTTTTTATAGCCACCCAGAGTGGTTGGGGTAACCCAGTCAGATGGGCGGTATATAAGTATTCAATAATAAATGATTATGATTGTAGAAAATGAAAGGTTGGCAAGGCAGCACAGGACTGCACTTTGCCAAAGCCATGTTGTTTTACTCCACCTTCCTTCAACTTCAGCCACTGTGGCCATTGATCAGGGAGTTGTAATGCAGCAACATCTGGACGACCACAGGTTTCCCCATTCCTAATTTAGAATCTAAATCTGCAGTCCTGGGAATAAGCCCCTTTGAACATGGTGGAACTTACCCTGGAGTAAACATGCATTGGGTCATAACATTGGGCATCAAAGTACAGTGGTACCTCGGGTTAAGTATTTAATTTGTTCCAGAGGTCCGTTCTTAACCTGAAACTGTTCTTAACCTGAAGCACCACTTTAGCTAATGGGGCCTCCTGCTGCCGGCGCATCACCGGAGCACCATTTCTGTTCTCATCGTGAAGCAAAGTTCTTAACCCGAAGTACTATTTCTGGGTTAGCGGAGTCTGTAACCTGAAGCGTATGTAACCCGAGGTACCACTGTAGTATATTCCTGAAACTGTATATCCAAATAGTGCAAGTCCCACATAGGATGTGCGTCCCATGGACATGTCACGGAGAAGGTGGTCAGAGAATTGGGAGAGGCCAACCCAAGGCAAGGTTCTAGTGGGTTGAGGACTTGCAGCCCCAGGGCAATTGCCAGTGGATTAGGAGGAGGGGATCCAGATTCAGGAGAAGGGCCTAGTGGCTTGTCAGAGATGGACTTCCCAAGCCATACATCACCAGCTGTGGAGGTGGTTCCAGAAGCACCATACCCTGAAAGTGAAGAGAACTCCCCTGTGAGCTGGCTATGTCATCTCCAAGGATGTGGAGGCAACATTGCTGGTGCAAGCAGACCATATATGCCCAGCCTCTACAGAGGAGTTCCCATTTGCTTCTCAGTCCCAAGGCTTGGGACGTCAAATGCATTAATGTGCCTGCTTCAGTCTTCAAAAGTAGAGGGCAGGGAGCACGTCAAGTGTAGAATCAAATCCTAGTTAAACTTAGCCATGTATCTTAGTTCTTCCATGCTTTAATGGCTTGTAACCTGTAGACTCATGCTGGGCTGCTGTATGAGCCAAACTTTCAGAACAGCTTGCGTTCTGAGTCCAAAGGGGACTCAGGATATCGGGCAAATATTTTAAAATAAAGAATTGCAGCTGCTGCTTGTAAAAGCTGTACCTGCCCATCCCAGCTTTTATGCTTTTATCAGTCATATGTAAGTGAAGTGAACACTAGGAAGGGGAAATTACAGAAACCTTAAATTCTTTTGAAATTGAATTTTGCTGGATAGGAACTGCTGTAGTTCTTTCCCTCCCTGCAGTTATAAGATTCTACTGCATTTAATGTTCATTATCCAATGGAGTACATTTCATCTTACGTTGTGTGTGTTCTCTTGTGTTACAGCCTTTGACACTGTCTACCAAAGAAATGGTGATGGAGAAGCCAAGTCCGCTGCTTGTAGGGCGGGAGTTCGTGAGGCAGTACTATACCCTGCTAAATAAAGCCCCCGACTTCTTACACAGGTAACTTCTAAATATATCAATAGCTGGTGTTGTCTTGACTAAAGGAGCAAGTTGAATTAACCCCACTTCCTCCAAATGTAACTGTTTATCTTCTTATGGACAGCTTAACTTGACTGTATGGACTAGTTCCGCCTTGATGTTTTTATTTTATTGTATGCAGCCCTTAGGGGACGCGGGTGGCGCTGTGGGTAAAACCTCAGTGCCTAGGACTTGCCGATCGCATGGTCGGCGGTTCGAATCCCCACGGCGGGGTGAGCTCCCGTCTTTCGGTCCCAGCTCCTGCCCACCTAGCAGTTCGAAAGCACCCCTAAGTGCAAGTAGATAAATAGGTACCGCTTTATAGCGGGAAGGTAAACGGCGTTTCCCTGTGCTGCGCTGGTGCCGGCTCGCCAGAGCAGCTTCGTCACGCTGGCCACGTGACCCAGAAGTGTCTCCGGACAGTGCTGGCGCCCAGCCTCTTAAGTGAGATGGGCGCACAACCCTAGAGTCGGACACGACCGTTCTGTACGGGCAGGGGTACCTTTACCTATGCAGCCCTTATAGTTTACTAAAGGGTGGCTTTAAAATCTTTAAATTAAATAGTTGTTCTTTAAATAAACAACAAGCATAGCCAACTTAAAAAGGTAAAGGTAAAGGTACCCCTGCCCATACGGGCCAGTCTTGACAGACTCTAGGGTTGTGCGCCCATCTCACTCTATAGGCCGGGGGCCAGCGCTGTCCGCAGACACTTCCGGGTCACGTGGCCAGCGTGACAAGCTGCATCTGGCGAGCCAGCGCAGCACACGGAACGCCGTTTACCTTCCCGCTAGTAAGCGGTCCCTATTTATCTACTTGCACCTGGGAGTGCTTTCGAACTGCTAGGTTGGCAGGCGCTGGGACCGAGCGACAGGAGCGCACCCCGCCGCGGGGATTCGAACCGCCGACCTTTCGATCGGCAAGTCCTAGGCGCTGAGGCTTTAACCCACAGCGCCACCCGCGTCCCTTATAGCCAACTTAGGCTATGTTTATTTTGTGTCCCATAATGTGTTTCACGCACAAAGAAAACCCACCCTTTCAAGCCATAAAAAATATATATTTCGAAGTGTGGTTTAATTTAGGTTCTGACTAAAACAGCTGTTCTATCTAGATTTGAAGTGGTTTTTTAAAAAAATTAATTGTGGGCTTCATTAATAAAGAATAAGCAACTGAAAAAGCAGTTGAACAACACAAATTGGGAGCGTTGAGAGAAGAAACAAAGCACAGATACCCTGCCTCCTATTCCTGTGTATTTATTTATTAAAGGCTTTGTTCAACTAAGTCATATTCAGTATTGACACACTGAAATCATTGGACTTCAGTTGCTCATGACTAACAATTCCATTGACTTCAGTGGGCCTAGTTTGGGCATGGCTTAGCCAGATGCAACCCTATGAAAGTACTATACAATTATACTCCCAGGGTGGTTTGCAAAAAAATTCAAACAATTACAATGTGAATGCAAGAAAATACAGTAAATGAAAAAGCCACCAAATCATAAAAGCAGCATGATACAGCAAGATTAAAATTGTTTCTTTAAAAGCTGGAAAAATGAAAAGGTCCTTACTGGTGCTGAAAAGATGTTAAGGTAGGAGACCAAGCAAACCTCTCTAGAGATAGTGTTCTGCGCTGTAGTTGTCACTGCTGAGAAGTCTTCTCATACCCTCCCCCATTACATTAGAAAGACGTTTACAAGAGTCCTTCATTGAGGATCTAAATATATGGGTAGGTAGCTCCAAAGACAAGCGGTCATCAGCCAATCTCATGTTCCAAATGATGCCAAATTAAGCATACACATGTTCTGTTTACATGTAAGAGACGTAGAGAAGTTATTTTGAGTGATCTCATAAATACAATAAACAAATATTTTGATTGGGAATTCCATACTGCAGCTGATCACAGTGGAGCTTGCTGTCAGCAGTGATCAGCTGATCAACATTTACAGCAAGCCTTTCTTGCCAAGGCTCCAAATTGTTTCCATGATGGTGGAACATGTGGCTATAGTTTGGAGAAAGCAGCCTTGTGGGCCAAATTAGGTCTCCCAGTGGACCTAATTTCACTTGCGGGGCAAAGGTTCTCCACTATTGTAAAAGGTAAAGGTACCCCTGCCCGTACGGGCCAGTCTTGCCAGACTCTAGGGTTGTGCGCCCATCTCACTCAAGAGGCCAGCGCTGTCCGGAGACACTTCCGGGTCACGTGGCCAGCGTGACATCGCTGCTCTGGCAAGCCAGATCCGCACACGGAAATGCCGTTTACCTTCCCACTAGTAAGCGGTCCCTATTTATCTACTTGCACCCGGGAGTGCTTTCGAACTGCTAGGTGGGCAGGCGCTGGGACCGGACGACGGGAGCGCACCCCACCGCGGGGATTCGAACCGCTGACCTTTCGATCGGCAAGCCCTAGGCGCTGAGGCTTTTACCCACAGCGCCACCCGCGTCCCCGCCCTCCACTATTGTACCAGTTTTCAAAAAAGCAACTTCAGAGTTTGCCTGAAAACACCCTCCTGTTGACTGACAGAATTATAACACTGTGATGTAGCTTTTCAGTTAGTCTCCACTGGCCACAGTTTCTTTTCTATTGCCATGATTTTCTGTTATATGCGCCAGATAAATTTCTTGTTGCAAGAAGACTCCTTGCAATAATGCTCATTCTCCATGATGCATGGCTGAGAAGCAGTAGAAGACCTGTTACATCCTGGATACCTTGAAGTGATTTAAGCTATTCTGACCCAGGAGCTGCTTACTGACAACAGCCAATGAGAGTGAAGTGTAAATGGTTAAGCGTCTCAACTGTGGTTTCTCGGCTTCCTGTGCCACACAGTTATGGAGAATGACAAGCGCTGTAAAGAATTCAGCATGGGCAGTGAGGTCCTCAAGCAACAGTTTTGAACTGTGAAATAGAGCATCTCTTTCCCATCGATAAGTGTTGAGATAAATAGGCATCTTAACTATCCCAGAAAATGCATATGACTAATACTGATGCTGGTTTTCTTCCCACTGGGGTAGTCTGCTGCTAATCAAATGATTAGTAGGTCTGTACTTCAACAAAGGGACACGGGTGGCGCTGTGGGTTAAACCACAGAGCCTAGGACTTGCCGATCAGAAGGTCGGCGGTTCGAATCCCCGCGACGGGGTGAGCTCCCGTTGCTCGGTCCCTGCTCCTGCCAACCTAGCAGTTCGAAAGCACATCAAGTAGATAAATAGGTACTGCTCCGGCGAGAAGGTAAAACGGCGTTTCTGTGTGCTGCTCTGGTTCGCCAGAGCCACATGACCTGAAAGCTGTCTGCGGACAAATGCCGGCTCCCTCAGCCTATAGAGCGAGATAAGCGCACAACCTTCCGGTGGGAAGGTAAACGGCGTTTCCGTGCGCTGCTCTGGTTCGCCAGAAGCGGCTTAGTCATGCCGGCCACATGACCCGGAAGCTGTACACCGGCTCCCTCGGCCAATAAAGCAAGATGAGCGCCGGCCATCCCAGAGTCGGTCACGACTGGACCTAATGGTCAGGGGTCCCTTTACCTTTACCTTTAACTGGCAACATAGTGGTAGCTGACAAGAAAATTAAGAACGTCAAGGGTTATCACATACCCCTTTACTGTGATGATGACCTAGCATTTCTGTCTTTGTCTTACGATTTGGGTCACAATCTGAATGTGTGAAGAACCTGGGCAATAGTTCAGGAGTCATTGCTTCTCTTATTGCATCTCTTGCCATTAGATTTGATGGTATTAGCATCTTGGAAGCTTTCAGAATTTCATGAACAAGAAATGCTGAATCATAAATGCATATTGATGTACTTCTTACAGCTGCTTCCAGTTTCAGGCTGCTCTTGGAGACCAATCTATTGTTTGATTAGTTTTGTATTCTCTTGGCTCCGCTTAAAAAGTTACTACAGTACAGTGGTACCTTGGGTTAAGAACTTAATTCGTTCTGGAGGTCCGTTCTTAACCTAAAACTGTTCTTAACCTGAGGTACCACTTTAGCTAATGGGGCCGCCACGCCGCCGCCACGCAGTTTCTGTTCTCATCCTGAAGCAAAGTTCTTAACACGAGGTACTATTTCTGGGTTAGCGGAGTCTGTAACCCGAGGTACCACTGTAATGACTTTGAAATTACTGGTGCCTTGTGGTTGGATGTGGGCTGGGGAGATCAGGGAGATTGTATTAGAGCTTCAGAGTACTGTATTTTAATTGTTTTATTTAGTGATAAATAAAAATTATTTCCAATTTAAAGGCATATAAACGGATCTGAACTCTGTTCATCGTCTGAGGCCCTTCTTCGTGTGCCTCCTCCATGCGAGGTCCAGAGGGTGGCAATACAAGAAAGGGCCTTTTCTGCGGTGGCTCCCCGTTTGTGGAATGTGCTCTCCAATGAGGTTTCGCTGGCGCCTTTGTTTTACATCATTAGGCGCCCAGCAAAAGCCTTCCTCTTTAATCAGGCCTTTTGCTGATGTGGCCTTTGAAATGTGTTTGTGGGAGGTGGGGTTATTGTTTTGTTTTGTTTTAACTATTTATTTTATCCTTCTTTCCTGGTATTTTTATCTTGTGAACCTCTCTGAGATCTGATGAAGGGAGGTATATTAAATTTAATAAGTACGGTAATCATAATTTTAATACAGAGAACAAATAGCAAAAAAATAATCCTTAATGATTTCAGAACTGTAGATACCAGCATTGTATTTCGATAGCTTAATGGCAGAAGAGCCCTCATGGTTACAGTTGAAATTGTTCTGGCTCTGACCATATTAAGTGATCTCCTTTAGGACTGCACCCACAGATAACCTGGAATTATGTACACTGATCCTTAAAAGACACAGTTTGTTTCATCCATGTAGTTTTATTGCCCTGGGAAGGGATTTTGGGTGAAGTTGCCACTCCCTGAACACCCTAGTAGTTTCCCTTGAAACTAAGCAGGTCAAGGTCTGGCCAGTTCCAGAACAGGAGAATTCTTGAGAACCATTTGTTTTTATTTTATGTATTAATTTATTAAACTTGTATACCACCTTTCTTCCGAAGATCACAGGGTGGTTCACAACATAACAATACAAAATGGAAACACAGAATACATAATAAAACAAAAGCAAAATAAACCAATACCCACTTATGTCACCTTGGGTACCATTATGGGTGGGATATATTTTAAAAGAAACTTTTGTAAGGTGCCTAGATACCAAAACTGGATACAAACCAGATTTAGCGTTATCTTATAACATGACCCGGAAGTGTCTGCGGACAGCGCTGGCTCCCGGCCTATAGAGTGAGATGAGCGCACAACCCTAGAGTCTGGCAAGACTGGCCCGTACAGGCAGGGGTACCTTATATCTTATAACATTATTATTATTATTATTATTATTATTTGCTATGGGCTTTTGAACTGCATCAGAATTTTATTGATTATACCAGGTTTTAAAAACCATATAGTCCTCTTATCCAAAGCTTACATTAAACTTCTTAGCATTCTTTTTTTAATTTGCTGAAAACCAGATGTGCTCCTATATGACTGTCCTAAACCTCATGCTTGAATGTCTTTGCAGGTTTTATGGCAGGAATTCTTCTTATGTGCATGGTGGACTGGATGCCAGTGGCAAACCACAGGAAGCCGTGTATGGCCAGGCTGTATGTACCTAACCAATTATTTTAACATGTTCAGTCACAATAAATAAAGGCATAGCCTTTGGCAATACATAATGTTAAATATGGTGTTTCCATTAGATCAAGCAGTAATCCAGCAGCAAACATATTAGGGTTGTTTCCAATGCAGAGCTGAAACCTATGGGCTTTTTTTGGTCATGTATGCTGATTTCTATAGGCCTTTTTGAGTTTGGCTTAGTTGGATGCAACCTTTAGTTGCCAGATGCTGGAAACAATTATCCCCTGCAGCGTGTAAAAATATGGGATATGGCTGATATACCATACAATCAAATTTCAAGGAGGAATAAGTACAGTGGTGCCTCGCAAGACGAAAAGAATCCGTTCCGCGATTCTCTTCGTCTAGCACTTTTTTCGTCTTGCGAAGCAACCCCATTAGCGTCTAAGCGGATTAGCGCTATTAGCGATTTAGCGGCTTAGCAGCTATTAAAGGCTTAGCGGCTAAGCTGTTAAAAGGTTATTAACGGCTTAGCGGCTTTGAAAAAGGGGAAAGCGGGGGGGGGGGGGAATGGCGAGACTTGCAAGACGTTTTGGTCTTGCGAAGCAAGCCCATAGGGAAATTCGTCTTGTGAAGCGCCTCCGCGACGGAAAACCCTTTCGTCTTGCGGGTTTTTCGTCTTGCGAGGCATTCGTCTTGCGGGGCACCACTGTATATAAATGGACATTGAGAGAGAGCTCCAGAAATGGTGAATCCTGATTAATTTTTTACCCTGAACTGCACTAGGTTCAAGTGATGGGGCACATCCTGTTGCATTGAACATTTCCCCTACCTTATTTTTTTAACAGAGAGGGTGTCCTCCGAAGCAAAGGTGTGGACATTTGTGTCCGCCATTTTTGTTTCCCAGAGCGCTGTGCCATAGAACACACATAAGAATGTGAAAAAGCAAAGATCGTAGGCACGATTATCTGGAGCCTTCGTAGGGGTAGGTTTGTTAAAGTTGGGGAAAGACAGACAAGGCTTCTGAAAAGTTTCAAATACATTTGATTTCCCATAGTTTCTTGCTTGGCAGTGCTAATGTAAGAGGCTGATATCCAACAGACAATATTGGGCTTGGATGTGGGAGACCACTTCTTTCAAGGCCTCATAGTGTGACATTGGGTCAGGTCAGTTATTTTGTGCGCTTCAGAGGCTTCTGTGCAAAAATGAATAATAGTGACCTATTTAAAAAGGCAGCACAGAGATTATCAAGTGCCTAGGGCTTTTGGTTTTCAGTGTTCTTGGTAATTCTGTACTGAATGTCTATGCATTTTTCGTTGTCTTTCATTTCTGTTACTTTAGCAATAGATGATCCCCGTTTTTAAAATAGAACCTGATTTTTGACTTCAGAAACTGCCAGAAAAAGAGCTCTAGTCTTGAACCAGCATCAAGACATGTAGATAGTAATCCATGTCTTTGTATCCATGTAATATGCTCTTAACAAAAGGATGGGGGAATCTTAGGCCTTCTTGACGTTGGCCAATGGTCCAGGTTAATGGGAGTTTTATTCCAACCTACAGACTCTCCACCTCTGCCCTAGCAGTGATACAGTTGTGATGTAGTAGAACATGCTTCAGTCTTTAAAAGGTGCACCCAGAGTTTCAAAATATTTATTCAGCGCTTGCTGGGATAGCTGCATATTGCACATTCGAATCGGATGCATTTTCTATGAAGATGATGTAGTTCCACACCTGTAGCCTTCTGTTTTTCTCTGTTGTCATCCAGATTTGGTATTTTCAGGGAAATGGCCAGCCCGTTCCTTGAAATGTTTTAAGACAGCCCGGGATGCTGGATTTCATGGTTGCTGCCCTGAGGCACATGCTTTCAAAACTATATTAAAGACTATTGCATTGTTCTCTTGCTTTCCTAATTAGACACTAAAAAACAACACCTAAAGCAAAATTTAGCCCAATTACATGTCCTCATCCTCCCCCCCCCCAGATTTTAAAATACTAGATTAAGTTTATGACCACATGAAAGAGCTGCAGTGTAGTCCGTTGGCCTGCAACCAGAATCCTCTTTGTATTAATTATGTAAATAAAAGTATAAAAAATATACCTAGTTTTTACTGGAAAATTAGCCATGGGGATGAGCTTTGGGTTTTCTTGAAAACACTGTAGCATGCTCTAAAAATTATTACAGTGGTGTCTCGGGATGCGAACAGGATCCGTTCTGGAGCCCCATTCGCATCCTGAATAGAACGTAAGACGCGGTGGCACATCTGCGCATGCGCATGATGTCATTTTGAGCATCTGCGCATGCACAAGCAGCGAAACCCGGAAGTAACGCACTCTGTTACTTCCGGGTTGCCACGGAGCGCAACCCGGAAGCGCTTAACCTGAAGCACATTCAACCCAAGGTATGACTGTATTATTGTTTTCATTATTATTATTATTTATTATTTATTATCAGAAGTGCATTTCACCCACATAATGTGGCACAATAGCTGTTGAGCTACGTTACCAGCATCTGATGTGCAGAAACGTCTGAGAATTTCTTGGCTTCCCCTTTAGATTCTTTGAGCAGAGAAGATGTAGGCGGTTTGAGTTGCTCATGGCTGGGGCCGAAGCAAAAGGTTCAGAGTTTCACAAAATTACTTGTGAAAGGCCTGTGGGATTCATGGAGGTTGAGGCAGAAATCCTTGCCCCTTCCTTCTTCACTCCATCCTTTCCCAAACCTCCTAGTGAGTGAAAGTGTATGTGTGTCCTCCTCCTCCTCCTCTCCCCCCCCTTACTACCTTTCTTCCCTAGGACTTTCCCCCTACTCTTTCTAGTGTTTAACCAGGCTCCACCATTCAGGGACTGCTGTTGCAAGTACTGCAGCAGCCTTTCCTTGGCCAGTGCTGAGAAAAGCTTACTGGAGGTGGATCTGGATAGCTGGAATGGCTGCTTTGTTTGCTTGTTAGGATAGTGCCACCCTTGGCCAAGCTAACCAGCTGTGCGGCTCTCTCTCAAATGCATTCAATGGAACATTGCAGCGGACTTAGCTGTAGCCATAGAGTGAGGCACCAGGGCAGTAGGTCAGTGGCCGTACAGGTGAGCAGGAGCCTTGGAAGAGGGAGGGAACCTTAAAGAGTCACATCTTCACTCTGCCACATTTTAATTTATGTTAAACTTAGTTATGAAGCTATGTAGCATTATGGAATTTTATCAACTACAGTGGTGCTTCGCAAGACGAAAAGAATCCATTCCGCGAGTCTCTCCGTCTTGCGGTTTTTTCGTCTTGCGAAGCAAGCCCATTAGCGGATTAGCGCTATTAGCGGCTTAGCGGATCAGCTGTTGAGCGGCTTAGCGGATCAGCTGATAAGCGGCTTAGCGGATCAGCTGATAAGCGGCTTAGCGGCTTAGTGATCAGCTGTTAAGCGGCTTAGCGGATCAGCTATTAAGCAGCTTAGCGGATCAGCTGTTAAGCAGCTTAGCGGATCAGCTGATAAGCGGCTTAGCGGCTTGGGAAAAAGGGGGGGGAACCCTGCAGGAACTCGCAAGACATTTTCGTCTTGCGAAGCAAGCCCATAGGAAATTCGTTTTGCGAAGCACCTCCAAAACGGAAAACCCTTTCGTCTAGCGGGTTTTCCGTCTTGCGAGGCATTCGTCTTGCGGGGCACCACTGTAGCTTGTATCTACTGGTTATTGACCAAAACACACACACACACACAGAGAGAGAGAGAGCGCTTGTACAGATAGAAAAGGAAGAATGTGTCTTACATGCTCTCTACATTGAAGGAAAAGCATTTCCATATTCAGCATTTTTAAAGCAATGCATTCGGTATTAAGAGGCCCTACCTAACAAAGGAAAACATCTATACAGTGGTACCTCTGGATGCGAACGGGATCCGTTCCGGAGCCCCAAACTCATCCTGAGCAGAACGCAACCCGCGGGTTGCGATTCACCGCTTCTGCGCATGCGCGTGACGTCATTTTGAGCGTCTTCACATGCGCGCATGGCGAAACCTAGAAGTAGCCCGTTCTGTTACTTCCGGTCGCCGCGGAACGCAACCTGAAAACGCTCAACCTGAAGCGTCTTTAACCCGAGGTATGATTGTAGTTATCAAAATCAGGTACTGAGAGCTTGGGTTTTTATTTTTAATTTTTGACTAAGTGGGATTCAAGTTTCTTTTATTTTGTCTCCAGGACATACACAAGAAGGTGATGTCCCTGCAGTTTAGTGAATGCCGCACTAAGATCCGCCATGTGGACGCTCATGCAACTCTGAACGATGGAGTAGTTGTGCAAGTTATGGGGGAGTTGACAAATAATGGGCAGCCGATGAGGAAATTCATGCAAACCTTCGTACTGGCTCCAGAAGTAAGTAACCACAGTGAACTTCAAACAGCAGGGTCCTAAACATGAGTTGATCCCAAACGATCGCCTTCACTTCAGAAACCTTCCTAGACTAAACATAGCTTTGGTACCTCCACCAGCAATCTTATCTAGGTTACATAGCTGCAATTATAGCTTCCATGTAAGGGCCATTCATATACTGTATATATATGAGATGCCAAGTGTTCCAAATGAATTGAACATTATGGCTGAGAAGTCTTACTTTTCGTGTCATTGCATGAATGCAAAAGGGAAAGGACAACTGAATTTGAAAGCAATATGTAGCATTGCCAGAGAGTTAGTTAATCAACAGTTGAGGAGTTGGTTTTTTTTACCCATGGTGTGTTTGTTTTTACAGGGATCTGTTCCAAATAAGTTTTATGTACACAACGACATATTCCGTTATGAAGATGAAGTATTTGGTGACTCTGAAGCTGAACTAGATGAAGGTAAGGGAATCGGTCAGAGTTGGGACGTAGGAAGCCCTGCTACCTCAGACTAAAGGCCTCTCTGATCCAGCATTCTGTTCTCCCAGCAGCCAGACGAGATACCTATGTTGTTGTTGTTGTTTAGTCATGTCCGACTCTTTGTGACCCCCTGGACCAGAGCACGCCAGGCACTCCTGTCTTCCACTGCCTCCCGCAGTTTGGTCAAACTCATGCTGGTAGCTTCGAGAACACTGTCCAACCATCTTGTCCTCTGTCACCCCCTTCTCCTTGTGCCCTCCATTTCCCCCAACATCAGGGTCTTTTCCAGGGAGTCTTCTCTTCTCATGAGGTGGCCAAAGTATTGGAGCCTCAGCTTCAGGATCTGTCCTTCCAGTGAGCACTCAGGGCTGATTTCCTTCAGAATGGAGAGGTTTGATCTTCTTGGAGTCCATGGGACTCTCAGGAGTTTCCTCCAGCACCATAATGCCTCCACGGCATAGGTCATAGCTTCTCTCAGTTATTCAAGCCCCTTCGCCATGACAGGGCAGTGATCCACGAAGGAGTGTTCATTGGTTAAAAGACTTTAATATGTTAATCTAACTAACTAAGCATTGCCACTCTACTTCAGTCTGCCCTGTTCCATATTACAGTGGACACTCAGGTTGCGAACGTGATCCATGCGGGAGGCACGTTCGCAACCTGCAGCGCCACGTCTGCGCATGCGCGGGCTGCGGTTCGGCGCTTCTGCGCATGCGCAAAGTGTGATTTAGCGTTTCTGCGCATGCGTGACCGCTGAAACCTGGAAGTAACCCGTTCCAATACTTCCGGGTTTTGGCACGTCTGTAACCTGAAAAAATGCAACCTGAAGCGTCTGTAACCTGACGTTGTTGCTGTCAGTAAAGAGCCATATTCCTTTAAAAGTGCTGTTCTCCTACTTAATTAAAGGTAAAGGTAAAGGTACCCCTGCCGGTACGGGCCAGTCTTGACAGACTCTAGGGTTGTGCGCCCATCTCACTCAAGAGGCCGGGGGCCAGCGCTGTCCGGAGACACTTCTGGGTCACGTGGCCACATCTTCCGGGTCACATCTGGCGAGCCAGAGCCGCACACGGAAACGCCGTTTACCTTCCCGCTAGTAAGCGGTCCCTATTTATCTACTTGCACCCGGGGGCGCTTTCGAACTGCTAGGTTGGCAGGCGCTGGGACCGAACGACAGGAGCGTACCCCGCCGCGGGGATTCGAACCGCTGACCTTTCGATCGGCAAGCCCTAGGCGCTGAGGCTTTTACCCACAGCGCCACCCGCGTCCCTCCTACTTAATTACCAATAGTTAAAATGACTTTCTCTCTAATGTTTTAGAGTCAGAAGATGAAGTAGAAGAAGAGCATGAAGAAAGGCAGCCCTCCCCTGAGCCTGCTCAAGAGAATGCAAGCAGTACTTACTACGATAATCACCCTGTAACGTAAGGCAACTTTAAATTCTTACATTGCAACCGGTCTATGCAAAAATACGTTTCATTTTTTAAAATTATTACAAATCCCATTTTAACAATATTGAGACATCTTGTTTTCAGGTCTTTTATCGTTAGCCTGTGATGAAATCCAATGTATGGAACTTATAATCAAAAGGCATTGAAAGATTGTTCACGTTGTGTTTCTGAGCAACAACATGCTACCTCTGGAAGATTTTCATAAGGATTATTGCCTTACAGTGATTCTTGTAGTGTATAGAGACATCAGAATAGAATTTATGTGAGGCATTAATGTGTAGCCCTCTTTTTAAATATGTCGTCTCGGTTGTCTTTTTAGTGCCTACTTGAAGTCCTTCCTCCTTCAACAAGCCATTTTAAGTAGAGATCTTTCCCACTCTGCATCCGCGCTGGAGATGTTTTTTTAGATGTTTTGTCACTTGTGTGTGAGCTGCCCTGGGTTTTGGGGAGGAAGGGTGTGACTGAGATACATATATAAAAGAAAATGTATTTCTCTTTTGGTTAATTTTGCTTGTAACCAAAAATTACTGGCTTATGTATACAAGCAGTAAGTGCTAGGGCTGTAAGGGAATGAGGTAACTGATAAGGTAAACTTAAGGCAATTCTTGGGAATCATCTCGGAAGGAAATTAATTTGTTAAACTGTGTTTCTTGGTGAGCACACTAGTTGAAGAATGGCTATGTACTTTTTTTATGGCACTACAGTGGTACCTCGGGTTACATACGCTTCAGGTTACAGACTCCACTAACCCAGAAATATTGCTTCAGGTTAAGAACTTTGCTTCAGGATGAGAACAGAAATTGTGCTTCAGTGGTGCAGCAGCAGCAGGAGGCCCCATTAGCTAAAGTGGTGCTTCAGGTTAAGTACAGTTTCATGTTAAGTACGGACCTCCGGAACGAATTAAGTAAACCTGAGGTACCACTGTATAGGAATGATGGATTTGTCCAGCTACCAGTAGTCAGAGTTTAAGGGGCCAGTGAAATTGTGATTCAACAGAAAAGAGTTCAGCAAAATCACGGATTGCAGGATGGTTGAGATGCATATGCAACATGGGGTAAAGGCTGGTAGGATGTACAGTCAGCTTTCCCCACCGATAGCTACCATTGCTCATCGCCCTGATCTGGCCACAGTGATCCATGCGACGGTCACCTCCAGGCTTGATTATTGTAACTCGCTCTATGCGGGGCTGCCCTTAAAGCTGACCCAGAAACTCCAGTGGGTGCACAATGCCGCGGCAAGGCTCCTTACGGGGTTCTTGCCGCAGGATCACATTCATCCAGTGCTTTACCAACTGCACAGGCTCCCGGTGGAGTACAGGGTCAGGTTTAAGGTGCTGGTTTTGACCTTTAAAGCCCTATGCAGCCTAGGACCCACGTACCTCCTGGACCGCCTCTCCTGGTATGCCCCGCGGATGACCTTAAGATCCATAAATAACAACACTTTGGAGGTCCCGAGCCTCAAGGAGGTTAGATTGGTTTCAACTAGGGCCAGGGCCTTTTCAACACTGGCCCCAACTTGGTGGAACACTCTATCACAAGAGACTAGGGCCCTGCGGGACTTGACATCTTTCCGCAGGGCCTGCAAGACAGAGCTGTTCTGCCTGGCCTTTGGTTTGGACTCCGTCTGACCCTTATGTTTCCCTCCCCTTATGGTCTTGATTTATCAGCTACTTTAAAATGAGGCTGCATTTTAAATTGTATTTTAAATTGGGGTCCCCCCCTTCTTTTTCCTTTCCCCCCTCTTATGTTTTTACTGTGATTTTATTGGTGTTAGCCGCCCTGAGCCCGGCTCTGGCCGAGGGTATAAATAAAACTTATCATCATAATCATCATCATTATTATTAGTTATTAGTTATTTTTTATTACTATTATTATTATTATATTATGTCAGTATATCTGGTTCTGCTATCTGTTAGCATTTTAGAATTAATTTAGCTGCACCCAATTCTAGTAATGGAATAGAAGAAACGTTGGAAGAATCTACTCACGAACCTGAGCCTGAGCTGGAATCTGAATCAAAAGCTGAGGAACTAAAACCTGAAGCGGAAGAAAAAAATATTGAAGAGCTAGAAGAAAAGTCTCCATCCCCACCTCCTGTAGAAACAGTTTCTCTACCACAAGAACCACCAAAGGTGGGTTAATGTTCGATGCTTTGTGTAACTAGACTGAAGATGGCTGTCAAACTCGGATTGTGAGGAAACTTGGGTAGCTATAATCACAAACAGAAATGGTGGGAGTAGCTTTCTGCGTTGAGTATTCAGTATAAATGAGTGTTCCCATTGCCCCGTCCACACAAATGGACATTCACGTTCCTTAAAGTCCAAAGCCAATTGAAAAATGTTTCTAATGGGTACTGAGGCTAGTAAATGTATTTTTAGAACCTTCTTAAAATTAAAACTCATTAGTACTGTTGATAGAGGACAGCAAGTTTTTAACATAATTGATTCTTTACTGCTTTCTTACAATGTAAATTGAAATGCATCCAGTCCCATGATTCCCTTCCCTCCCAGTAGAAGGGGAAAATATTGCAGGCACTGTGTTCTGTTTTGACAGCCTATTAATTTGAGAGCTTTGGGGAGAAGTCACAGTAAAGTTACCCACGAGGTTATGATCTTGAGTACTTACACCTATTGCTTTTTAGCTACGACATACTTAGCTATTACAGAGTAATCATGTTTGGTGCCTCTGGCTGAGGCTCCTTCAGGAGAACATTCTATAAATAGGGATCACAACCAATTAGACCCGTTCCCTAATTGTGCCTACCTAACCTCTGATATAAGGGCACCTGTAGAAGGATCTTGGATCAGTTGGGATATGTTGATTTGGAAGAGGTGGTCCTTCAGAGATACTTTAGTCCAAGTCATAAAGGCAACAGCTGAAATACCGTATTTTTTGCTCTATAAGACTCACTTTTCCCCTCCTAAAAAGGGGAAATGTGTGTGCGTCTTATGGAGCGAATGCAGGCTGCAAAGCTATCCCAGAAGCCAGAACAGCAAGAGGGATTGCTCCTTTCACTGCACAGCGATCCCTCTTGCTGTTCTGGTTTCTGAGATTCAGAATATTTTTTTTCTTGTTTTCCTCCTCCAAAAACTAGGTGCGTCTTGTGGTCTGGTGCGTCTTACAGAGCGAAAAATACAGTAAAGTAATTCCTGGTCCACTGATGAGCACAATTCAAACACTCTGAATTGTGCTTGTCAGTGGACCAGCAATCAGTTTTAACTGCTTCAAAACAGACAAGGTAAATTCCATATAACTGGCCCCAGTCAGTATTCTAGCCTGTTTTGAATCATCTGAAGGTTTTGACTGTTCAAAGCACATCCAGTGCTTTACAATAGTCTAAATGGGAAGCTACCAAGGGGATCTGCCTATTTCATTTCTGGTGGGATCATAGCTGGCACACCAGCCCAAGCTGGTAAAAGGCACTTCATGCTACAAATGCCACTGGGTCGTAAAAATTGAGAACAGAACCCAGTAGCATCTCTAAACTGAACTTTCTTTTCTAGGGGGGAGAGGTCCTAGTGTGGTCCTGAGAGCCAGTGTGGTGTAGTGGTTAAGAGTGGTAGACTTGTAATCTGGTGAACTGGGTTCGCTTCCCCGCTCCTCCACATGCAGCTGCTGGGTGACCTGGGGCCAGTCACACTTCTCTGAAGTCTCTCAGCCCCACTCACCTCACAGAGTGTTTGTTGCGGGGGAGGAAGGGAAAGGAGAATGTTAGCCGCTTTGAGACTCCTTTGGGTAGTGATAAAGCGGGATATCAAATCCAAACTCTTCTTCTTCTTCTAGTTAGGGAAGACCCTGGTTGGTCCTAATTGCAGCTAATGACAGAAATGATATCGCATGCTCCCACAATTAAGACTGACAGGGAAAGTGTGAGGGAATTTGGTCCTGAGAGCAAAAGGATTGTGGAATAGTGCCTGTGTTTGGCCTGTTTCCAGTCTCTGGGAATATTAAGTCTGTACTAGCCCCCCAAGAATGATAAAGCACGAAAAATGTACTCCTACATAACTGCCCTCTCTTTCACCCCCGGTTAAGTGAGTATAGGATTGCAGCCTAGGGTGATGAACATGATCTGTTGAAACGAATAGATAACTGAAATGGTAAAAAACATTCACCATCTGTTTTGCTGGCATCGTGTTATGATTGCACTTAATTCTGAGACTGTCTTGCCGTAGAGCAAATGTTTCTATTGGTCTAGTTTTCCCATAAGAAATGTCCGTGGTTTTCCATGATGAGCAGCCCAGGTTTGTTGCATTTCCTGCAGGCTTTCTCTTGGGCTTCAGTGACCAGTAAAAACCTGCCTCCTAGTGGGACTGTTTCTTCCTCTGGAATTCCACCCCATGTTAAAGCACCAGTCTCACAGGTAACCAGTCTGTGAACACCTTAGATTGTCTGCTTGTTTACATCTACAAACTGCTTCGCTAACAAAACAAGTTATGATTCCTTGAATTGTGCCAATTGGCTGCTTAATATATATCCCAGCACCCTGTACCAACTTATGACTGTTTTGTAGACTGGTTCATTCATTTTCTTACCAGCAGTTCTGTTTTTCTAGAGAAAGAGGTGCTGGAACTTGCCATGAACGGCTCCCTTGTTCTCTTATACAGTCATACCTCGGGTTAAATTTGCTTCAAGTTGAGCGTGTTCGAGTTGTGCTCCGCGGCAACCCAGAAGTAACGGAGGGCGTTACTTCCAGGTTTCGCCGCTTGCGCATGCGCTCAAAATGACGTCACATGCGCAGAAGCGGCGAAAAGCGACGCATGTGTGCGCAGACGTGCCGTCGCTAGTTACATTTACCTCTAGATGTGAACAGGGCTCCGGAACAGATCCCGTTCGTATCTAGAGGTACCACTGTAATGGCAGTGGCGTCCACTTGAGAGGTGCTGGAACTGAATTCTGGCAAGTTCTGGCTGAAAAAAAGCCCTGCTTACCAGTATTATTGTTACTCCTATTTCCAGAATGTTTGTGGCAGTGTGATATATAAGTTGTCTGGAACAAAGGTGTAGAAGGGATCCCTTGGGGATCATCCACACTTTCGTTTGAACCGTATTTTGAAAATCTGAGAAGTATATATTTCATTATTCAAGATATCATACCCAGTTACTTTCTTTAAAACAAAAAACTTCTTTATTTTTCTGTTTCAAAAAATACATATAATAAACAATCCCTGTATACCCCCACCCCCAAGAAACATTCCATGCATATGCAAAATAAATGATACAGTCAAACATTAAGCAGTAGTTTAGAGCTGATTATAGCAGTTAAGGGTCTTCTACTCTCCGTCTTAACAGATTATCCCAGAGTGAGCCATGGGTAGTTGAAAAGGTAGTTGAATTCATCTTTCTGCACCTTAAAATTACTAGAGAATGTTTTGTGGAGGACACGGAGATAGGTTTAAGCACAATGCTGCTGCTTTCCCCTAAAAAAAAAACAGCAAATCTGCGAAACACAGCTACCATACCAAAAGGCAAGGTGAAGAACCCAGCTCTGGTATGAGACATTTAAAGATTTCATACGAGCAGCATAATCAGACCCTTTGACACAGCCCACTGTTGCAAGCTTAGTTGAAATGAACAGGGCAGTGGTTTTCAACCAGTGTGCTGTGGCACCTTGGGGTGCCTTGAATGATGGTCAGGGCTGCCACAGACAACACTGGCCTCTGTCCCTCTTTCCTTCCCTCTCACCTCTGATGTCCTCTCGTGTCTCTGCCTCCCCAAGGCTTGCACAGCTGTTTGTTGCAGCAGCCCTGGCTACTAGCTCCGCAGGCGAGTGGTGCCTCTGGGGCTGGCCAGGGGGTGCTGGTTGCCAGGAGCTGAGGCGGCCTCGGAGCAAGCAGTTCAGGGAGCCCAGCCAGCCAGTCAGCCAGCCCTTGCTGTTGGGAATGGGCAGACAAGTCCCAGGCCCCTGTGGAGCAATGTGAAGAGGCACTTCTCTTTGGCTGGAGGCAGCTCAGAGACCAGGGGCAGCGGCAGCTGCCCGGAGGACTCCCAAGGAGAGGGGAGAGGAGAGGAGGCGGAGGGAACACTCCACAAGGAAGGGTGTTTGAAAAAGGGTGAGGGGCTGCCAGCTCTTCAGGGAAGGGGTGAGCCCCACAGCGATGCCACAGATAGAATGTAGTTGGTCAAGAGAGCCGTGACTCAAAAAGGTTGAAAACCTTTACAGTAAACCTTTACAGTAAAACATTGCTGGCAGTGTATATAAGATTTATAGTTTTTCCGAAGGCCACTATGCAGATGTTAAATCATTAAGTGTAAAACCATCTATTGACATGGGCATAGGAGTTGACTCCTATGCCCATGTCATAAAATATTTGAGGGGGCCACCCCCTGTGGCGATCACACAGGGTCCCCGGACGTTTCACCGTCTATTGATCCCTGTGCCACCACTTTATTTCTCGCTGCCACCACCCAGGCCCTACCTGGTACAATACTGAGTCCAGTCAGGGTTTAAATTGGAACATAAACTTCTGTTTATTTATTGCAGTTTAACAAGCGTGTGGTTTCATAAATTGTATCAGTCAATTACAATCATGGGGTGCCTGTCCAGACTTTCACTCACTAAACCACCTCTCAGATTTTACTTGTCTCCCTAGCTCCTAACTGTTCCTGACTCAGCTTATTTTACTACACTAACTCAACCTACCCACAGACTCTATCCCAATTCACTCCCACTCCCACTCCAACCAACCACCCAACTCCCAACAAACTCTCCCTCTTCGCCCCTCCCAGAGCTGGTTTTATGGTCCCTCTGACTCCACCCCCCTGGGTCCTGATTGGGTAACCTGTTTAACTATTTCACCTCCAGCACTCTCATATGTCAACATCACACACCCCTCCCAAAGTTGATGGGCATTGCCATTCAAATGGTGTGTGTCTGTCATGTCAAGTGATTTATTATGTGGGGTGGGGATTGCCTGCCCACCCCTCAAAATATTTTACTCAAGTTGGCCTGGACATGGCCTCTCCCACTAATGAGTCAGTAGGATTGGTTAGTTAGTGTAGAAAGAAGCCACATGTTTTATTGTCATCAACACTGAATACCAACAGGAATGAAGCCAAAGTTGGGTCATTGAGAAATAAGAGGGAGGTATTGGCTTGTAGATATAAATAACAATAATAAATCCATTTAAAAACAAACACTCCGTAGCTTTAAAAGGTAAAGGTAAAGGGACCCCTGACCATTAGGTCCAGTCGCGGATGACTCTGGGGTTGCGGCGCTCATCTTGCTTTATTGGCCAAGGGAGCCAGCGTACAGCTTCTGGGTCATGTGGCCAGCATGACTAAGCCGCTTCTGGTGAACCAGAGCAGTGCACGGAAACGCCGTTTACCTTCCCGCCGGAAGGACCTATTTATCTACTTGCACTTTGACGTGCTTTCGAACTGCTAGGTGGGCAAGAGCAGGGACCGAGCAACGGGAGCTCACCCTGTTGCGGGGATTCAAACCGCCGACCTTCTGATCGGCAAGTCCTAGGCTCAGTGGTTTAACCCACAGCACCACCCGCCTCCCTATACTCCCAAGATTTACAGTCTAACAATAAAGATACAGCACACAAGGGAAAAGGGATGAGGGGGGAAGAGGAATATAAAATTTGAAACCCAGGCCCCAATTTCTCGGCAGTTGTTCCTATATTGACCAGCTGGCTTAGTTCATTGGCAGGAGGTGCCTGATGGAGCTTGGCCTCCAGCGAAGCAGATGACACGAACCCGGCTTCCTCTCTCTCCCACCAAGGCACCCTGATGAAATGGCTGTCCACAGATGACAGCTGAGGGAAGAGGAGACCTGCTGCAGCTGGCCTTTCGCAGCAGAGCCAGTGGGGAGAGCTCTGCTTCTCAGCTCTCCCAGGGCTTAAGCTGCTCTTTGATAGTAGCTCTCATGGCATGGTGCTTAAGAAGGCCGCTGACCTTTGGGGGGGCGGCTTTTCAGGGTTGCCAGGGGCCGACCCTTGAAAACCCTCATCACCACCAGTGCTTTGGGCCTTAGCTAGTCTGAATAAGATGTAGTTCAGAACTCAACTTTTTTTGTTTTATAACAAAAAGTAAGCCCTACAGTCCTGGATTGGTACAGAGGAATTCGTAAGTGGAATGTTTTTCCAACTACAAAACAAACAAAAAAAAAAACCCAACAGCTTTATTCTGTATTTATGAGTTGCTCTGCTTCGGCTGTCCAAGTTACCTTTAGAATTTTTGCTAACCGTGCCTTTTCTCGTTCCAGCAAAGATTAGAAACAAAACCTGAAACCCAGTCTCAACCTCCTCGTGTGCGTGAACAGCGTCCGCGGGAGCGGCCAGGCTTTCCCTCAAGGGGCCCCAGACCAGGTAAAAAAAAAAATCCAAGTACCAGTATTGCAAATTTGGCTTACAGTGGGTTTTCTGGGTTTTCCTTAGAAAATCAGGTCGTTCACCTGGTTTGGCAGGTTGGGTGGCCATCTGTTATGGATGCTTTAGTTGAGATTCTTGCAATGCCGGGAGTTGGACTCGATGACTCTTAGGGACCCTTCCAGCTCCACAATCCTATGATTCTGTGGCCTACCCGAAGTCCTCACGCTTTAAATTTGAATGTGAAAGGCCCTTATGGCCTTGAAGGTACATGACAATTACACACATACACACAGAGAGAGGGGGAGAGAGAGGTTTTTCCCCAAAGGCTTTTGCCAAGTAACAAGTGAACAGTTTCTGAAAATACGTTCTTAAAAAAAAGGCCACCTGTTTTCCTCTAAGAACAAGAAGAAAACACATCCAGCTAAATCTGAACTGGACTACAGTGGTACCTTGGGTTAAGTACTTAATTCGTTCTGGAGGTCTGTTCTTAACCTGAAACTGTTCTTAAAGCACCACTTTAGCTAATGGGGCCTCCCGCTGCTGCCGTGCCGCCGGAGCATGATTTCTGTTCTCATCCTGAAGCAAAGTTCTTAACCCGAGGTAGTATTTCTGGGTTTGCAGAGTCTGTAACCTGAAGCATATGTAACCCGAGGTACCACTGTATTTACCTATCTTAAGTTAATAAATAGGCATTTCCATTTCTGCTGGAGTTCCCCTTCTAGTTCCATTTGCAGTCTTCTCTTTTGCAGTGTTCCAAGTGTGCTCTCTAACTTCCACAGTGTGATTACTGTAACTTCTAACTTTTATAATACTTCAGTGCTCTATCTTTGCTCTTTTTAATTCCCTCGTCTCCCCCCCCTCTCTATATATACAGTCATACCTCCGGTTAAAGACGCTTCAGGTTAAATCTTTTCAGGTTGCGTCCCGCAGCAACCCGGAAGTAACGGAATGGGTTACTTCTGGGTTTCGCCGCTCGCACATGCGCAGAATGACGTCACGCGCATGTGCAGACGCAGCGACTCGTGACCCGCGCAGATGCGGGTTGTGTTCACATCCAGAGGTACCACTGTATATATATAATGTTACTTCAACTTTCTCTCCTAACCTTTTAGCCTGCCAGAAAGGGAATAGAATCCAGGATAAGTTTCTAGTCGCTGATACCTGTTAGGTTTCTCTCTTGCCTCCCCTTAAACCTTTTAGGCTTCATTTTCTCCTAACAGTGAAGTCCCTGGCCGAATTTTGACATTCCTGGTTACAACAGATAATAAGCAAAGACAGCATCCATTTTATGAAATAGAACTGAACATGGGATTGAATCCAGAGTTCATTCTCGCTAGCAGGTGCATCCCATGTGTTTGTAAGCTGACTGCTGTTTGCATCCTGGTTTTGTATGAATGCAGGTCGAGGAGATATGGATCCAAACGAATCAGACAATCGGCGAATAATTCGCTATCCGGATAGTCATCAGCTCTTCGTTGGCAATTTACCACATGATATTGACGAGAATGAACTGAAAGAGTTTTTCATGAGTAAGTGGCACATAAGTGAAGCTTGAAGCAGGGGGGGATTCTTGCTAGTCACATATTAAGTTACCTCTCTAATTAGCATTGCTGAAATTGCCTTCTGAGTAAACTGACTTGCTGCCTAATAGATGTCATACATTTCCCCATAACCATCTACACCCTGCTTTCACAGGCTTTGGGAATGTTGTGGAACTTCGCATCAATACTAAAGGTGTTGGAGGAAAACTCCCAAACTTTGGCTTTGTGGTGTTTGATGACTCTGAGCCAGTTCAGAAGATTTTATTGGCAAAAGTAAGTAATCTAGTCACTAGTTTGTGTTAGATTCTGTTTTCATTATGACACATTGAATTCTGCTGCCTTAGACTTTTGTAAGTCCCCACCCACTTCACATTCATCCATCAAGGGATTTCTGTGAACCAGGAATAAGACAGGGAAAGACCTGGCTTAAAAGCCTTTCTCCTTGAGGTGCTATGGGGGGTTTTTTGTAGTGTTCTGTATGGAAAAGCTTAATTACCGTATTTTTTGCTCTATAAGACTCACTTTTTCCCTCCTAAAAAGTAAGGGGAAATGTGTGTGCGTCTTATGGAGCGAATGCAGGCTGCGCAGCTATCCCAGAAGCCAGAACAGCAAGAGGGATTGCTGCTTTCACTGCGCAGCGATCCCTCTTGTTGTTCTGGCTTCTGAAATTCAGAATATTTTTTTCCTTGGTTTCCTCCTCCAAAAACTAGGTGTGTCTTATGGTCTGGTGCATCTTAGAGAGTGAAAAATACGGTATGCTATTTCCCACTTGCAGCCTGAAGTGATAAGAGTCCATTCTGTCAGGGGGGTGGGGAGTGTCGGAACCAGGGGATGAAAAGCCAGCTGGCTCGGCCGTCTCCCCTCTCAGCCTTGTCGCTGTGGAGATCCATCAGTCATCCTCCTCCAACGTGCTTCTGCGACTCAAGTTGCAGTACATGCTTGAGCACACATTACTCAGCAATCACACAACAAAATCAGGCCTGAGGCGTGGATACGATACTAAGCAATAATAATAATAATAATAATAATAATAATAATAATAATAATAATAATAATAATTTATTATTTATACCCCACCCATCTGGCTGGGTTTCCCCAGCCACTCTGGGCGGCTTCCAACTGAATATTAAAAACAATACAGCATCAGACATTAAAAACTTCCCTAAAGAGGGCTGTCTTCAGTTGTCTTTTAAAAGTAAAATAGTTGTTTATTGCCTTGACATCTACTGGGAGGGTGTTCCACAGGGCAGGCGCCACTACCAAGAAGGCCCTCTGCCTGGTTCCCTGTAACCTTGCTTCTTGCAATGAGGGAACCGCCAGAAGGCCCTCGGCGCTGGATCTCAGTGTCCGGGCAGAACGATGGGGGAGGAGACGCTCCTTCAGGTATACAGGACCGAGGCCGTTTAGGGCTTTAAAGGTCAGCACCAACACTTTGAATTGTGCTCGGAAACGTACTGGGAGCCAATGCAGATCTCTCAGAAGCGGTGTTATGTGGTCCCGGCGGCCACTCCCAGTCACCAGTCTAGCTGCCGCATTCTGGATTATTTGCAGTTTTCAGGTCACCTTCAAAGGTAGCCCCACGTAGAGGGCGTTGCAATAGTCCAAGCGGGAGATAACTAGAGCATGCACCACTCTGGTGAGACAGGTAGGCAAGTAGGGTCTTAGCCTGCGTACCAGGTGGAGCTGGTAGACAGCTGCCCTGGACACAGAATTAACCCGTGCCTCCATGGACAGCTGTGAGTCCAAAATGACTCCCAGGCTGCGCACCTGGTCCTTCAGGGGCACAGTTACCCCATTCAGGACCAGGGAATCCCCCACACCCACCCACACCCTGTCCCCCAAAAACAGTACTTCTGTCTTGTCAGGATTCAACCTCAATCCGTTAGCCGCCATCCATCCTCCAACCGCCTCCAGGCATTTATTATACATAAATCAGGACAAAGAAAAACATGGCCTCTCTCCTTGTTCTTCTCAGGGAGAGAGAAAACAAAAGCAATACAGAGCGGAAGTTCCGCTCATGCCAGCAATCTGTTCTGGAATATAAACAGACATGTGACATGCAACAATCCCACATATCTGCAGCTCGGGAGGAGTGTAATGCCAACAGGGTGAGGATCTGGCTGTTGGCCTGTTCAGATGGCACTTGCCTGCCTTTTGTAGATCAATACTTCATAGTGAAGTCTAAGAACAAGTTATGCACCTACTCTCCTTCCTCCCCACTGCACATTTATTGTAGTGGCTTTAAAACAAACAAAGGGGAATCTCCCTAACTCCACAATCCAGACCTCAATTAAAAGAAGGATTTGAATTGAAGGTTTATGAAGAGGCCACAGTTAATGCATAGCAAGCAATAGCTGAACTGATGAGAGGCAAAGTGCAGTGTAAACCAGTCCCTAGTTAATGTAATAGTGAAAATAATCCTCTCCTATCCGAAAATAGGTCACAGCTATTTGTTTGCGACACCATTGAGAGTGTTCTAAATTGCAAAGTGTTATTACTGAAAATTGGGACGCGGGTGGCGCTGTCGGTTAAAGCCTCAGTGTCTAGGACTTGCCGATCGAAAGGTCGGTGGTTCGAATCCCCGCGGCGGGGTGCGCTCCCATCATTCGGTCCCAGCGCCTGCCAACCTAGCAGTTCGAAAGCACCTTCGGGTGCAAGTAGATAAATAGGGACCGCTTACCAGCGGGAAGGTAAACGGCGTTCCGTGTGCTGAGCTGGCTTGCCAGATGCAGCTTGTCACGCTGGCCACGTGACCCAGAAGTGTCTGCGGACAGCGCTGGTTCCCGGCCTCTAGAGTGAGATGAGCGCACAACCCTAGAGTCTGTCAAGACTGGCCCGTACGGGCAGGGGTACCTTTACCTTTACCTTTATTACTGAAAATTACCGCTCTTGAAAGGAGTGAATCAGGATAGAGATTTGAGGGCATAACTTTAGATGCGGCACAAAACAGTTGATTAGAACGCATACAGAATTACAGTGTACGGTAGAAAGCGGCAAGAGAATAACTTCACAACATTTCAAGATAACAGGAAGTAGTGCTATTTTTCTAGAAAAAGAGGTGCCAGAACTCACGACAAACACCTCCCTCGTTCTCTTAGAATGGGAATGGCACATACCTGAGAGGTGCCAGAACTGAGTTCTGGCTGACAGACCCTGACGGGAAGTCATATTCTTGTATTTATTTATTTTTAAATGACCAGTTGTTTACTGTGTTTGGATAATCAGCTCAATTGAGAATTGGCCATCCTTGCACCCAGATCCTTGACCTGAAGAAAGGAGTGATCTGGGATAACTAAGAATATGCATTGCTTCTAAAGTGGAGTTTTGTAAGGAATGTTCAAAGTATGGCAGCTTCTGCCTCACAGGGTCTCTGCCATGGGAGCATATTCACCCAGTGCTTTTCCAGCTGCACTGGCTCCCGGTGGAGTACAAGGTCAGATTTAAGGTGCTGCTTTTGACCTTTAAAGCCCTCCACGGCCTAGGACCCTCGTACCTACGGGACCGCCTCTCCTGGTATGCCCTACGGAGGACCTTAAGGTCCATAAATAGCAACACCCAGAGGTCCCGGGCCCTAAGGAAGTTAAATTAGCCTCAACCAGAGCCAGGGCCTTTTCAACACTGGCTCCAGCCTGGTGGAACGCTCTGCCTCATGATATCAGGGCCCTGCGGGATCTGCTTTCTTTCCGCAGGGCCTGTAAGACAGAGTTGTTCCGCCTGGCCTTTGGCTTGGGGCCAGTTTGATTCCCTCCCTCCCTCTCTTTCTTTTTTCCTTTCTCCTCCTGTGAAGAGGCTGCATCCTAATGTTTTAATGTTGTATTTTAATCTTGTTTTTTAATTTGTATTTTAATCAACTTGTTTTTATTTTTGGTTGTTAGCCGCCCTGAGCCCAGTCTTGGCTGGGGAGGGCGGGGTATAAATAAAATTGATGATTATTATAGATTTCTGCCACCCATACAAACAACGTTGTCACAGATGGTGCAAAATAACATCCACTGGGTCTGTGTATTGTAGCTAGCAAGATAACAGTAATAAGAATTGCTAATGATATGACAACCTGAATACTAACTAGCATTGATTGACACACTCTAAAGAAACGATGCATTCTGATCTGGTCTGCCAATGACTGTCAGCAATTAGGTTAGCTATGCACACTCAGTGCTCTAATGTTGCACGCATGACATGGAGATGATGATGATACCCAGCCACTCTGGGAGCCTTCTGCATATGTTCTACTAAGTGAGCTAATGAACCTCTTTGGACGCTATAAAACTAGCTAAGCTTTTGGTATTAACGCTTTATCTTCTCCCTCCCTCCCCGCCCTTTCAAGCCTGTTATGTTTCGTGGTGAAGTGCGCTTGAACGTAGAAGAAAAAAAGACCAGAGCTGCTCGTGAAAGGGAGACCCGAGGTGGTGGCGATGACCGCAGAGATATCCGGCGCAACGACCGAGGTCCAGGGGGTCCACGTGGCATTGTGGGTGGTGGAATGATGCGAGACCGCGATGGAAGAGGGCCTCCTCTAAGGGGTGGCATGGCCCACAAACTTGGCTCCGGAAGAGGAACTGGGCAGATGGAAGGCCGGTTCACAGGTCAACGTCGTTGAAGACCCAAATGTTGGCAGGCAGTCTTGGCAGTGATACATTATTCGTCGTGTTTGCATTCTTGTTAATTTTCTGGCTTTGGAATGTAACACAGCCTTTTTGATCATTTCTTTGATGTGAGAAACATCCTTTGGTTACCAGTTAAATTGAGGTGGACGTTCTTTCCCCAATTTCACAAAGAAGTCACACTGTTAACGTATAACTTAGACTTGGAGATTAAGGACTGTGAGAAATGACCATTTAAACTTTCTGCAGCGACAACTTTTAAAAAAAAAAAAAGGACAAGGGCGTGCCTAATTTGAGTTAAGGTCCTTTCAGTAAAACAAAAAAAAAGCACCCTCCTGCTACACATTTTGTGTAAGTGTTACTGTTTCTGCCTATTACTGTTGGAAACGCAACTAGTGCAATCTTTGCAATTGGAGAAGCTTACCCTTTTCCCCCCTTATAGAACACTTGGCTCCAAACAACTCACGTTTTTATGAACTCAAAAGCGCACTAATGGGTATTTGACTCCTTTTACGTTGACATCTGCTGAAAGCAGCAAGGAAAAAGTAGCTTGTGAAACGATGCAGGCATCTGCTCTGCTTTGCTCTGACCAATATATGTACACACACACAAACCTTAACGAGACTACAAGTATGTTCCAGAAGGAAACCATTTAGCTGTAAACACAGATGTAAAAACTTCAAAAAATCATAGTCCTGAAAACGAAACAAGTTTGGTTTGTTGTTTTTTTTAAAGGATTTAATGAGCTCCCCTGCCTTTCTCCAGAACAGGGATGGCTAACCGCTCAACACACTCCTTCTCCCCTTTCCCCTTTCTGTAAGCAGTGTACAGTGAAAAATTGTCTCTACTGTATTGAGGTCTCTGGTAATGTAATAAGCATGATGGTGCCTTCTATTAAATACATCATTCCAGTGTTGCTGGTGATTTTGTACAGTATAGTGGTATGAATGGCTGTGCTGCAAAACTTTTAACAGCTGTAAAAAAATGTTTATAAAATCATTGTATAAAAAATTGCAGTATCTTGAAATCGGTAAAGGTTACTGGAATATTATTTGCCTAGCTCTGCGGTTGACATGTTTCTGAAGCCTTTGAAAGAGGGAGGAAAGAAAATGGCTGCATTTTTAAGAGAAATGGAGTTGCGGAAGCGTGTGTGCATTCTTGCATAGACAAGTCCAAAGTTAATCAAGCACGTACCTTTGTTTCAAGTATACTTCGGATAAGCATATTTAACATAAAAACTTGTTACACCTCAAGGATACTGCAATTTTCACAGGGCAGGAGAATAGCTCAAAGTAATTGCTATTTCCGGGTTTCTGAACTGTCGTCACCCACTTTGCACAACCTCGAAGCAACATTGATGCCCACACGGCTCAGATATGTACATGGAGGGAGGACCTCCTCTTGTGTATTTGGATTTATTTTTTTTTAGAGCATCTTGAATTTTGGTGAGAGGTTTGCTGTTTCCAGGTTCCTGTTTGCATAGATCGCACATTCCAGAAAACTGCAAATGTAGCAAAACGGCGCTCCCCCGGCTTCACGCTGGACAGCTCAGTAAGCCTCAGGATTACTCTTGAGGAGGGGAGGCAAAAATATGTGACCACTCAGAGCTGCTCTAAGCATGGAAGACCTCACTTGTTTTAACAAAAATGCCTAATGCAAGGAGCATTTGGTTAAAAGTGACCATTTGCTGTTTCCTATGAATGTGGAAAATCTTGCCTGTGTGTTAAGGGGGAGGGGGAGTGAGTTTGCACCATTTTCTCCCCTCCCCCCATAATAATAATAATAATAATAATAATAATAATAATAATAATAATAATAAAAATAATTGAGGTCTTCCATGTTTGACGGTAAGTCTTGCACTATTTTCATACACTTTCTGGGACACATTTCTCTCTTTCCATGGTTATATTTGGGGGTGTGTTTTGTGTTGAACTGTTTCATTTTCAGACGATGCCTGGAAATGTACTTGAATGCCTCACCACAAACCATAAACCTTTAAGTTGAAAGCCTTTCTTGAAACTGCTGTTCTCAGCAAGCGGTTTGCTTACCAGTGTTTTGTGTTCCTTGACTTTTTTTTTTAAGTGCTATGGTATTGCCCTGCGATCTTAAAAGAAAAAACTCATAAAAGGCAAATGGCACTGGAGAAATAATCAGAAAAATACGTAACTGACAATTAGAGGAGCTACTGAGCCATTCAGCTTACCCGGCCGGCTTCTTTAAATGCCATGAATTAACAATATTGGAAGCATACACAGAAGTTTACATGGTGACCGTTCGCCTACTGTACTGTGGACTCATAGTGTTCTTGTCCCTCCTTTCAATAAATGTACCTCTAGAAGAAAAAAGCAACAGATCTCCTTTGACCTGTTATAAACTGCTGATTTGTTGACAATGGGGTAGTATTGCTATAATTGCAGATCCTATTTCAACAAACTTGCTTTAACCATCTTTTGGCTTTAGTAGGTATGCAAGACAGTGGACTTCCATCTTTATTGCTGTAATGTGTTGAGCATTATATGCTAGTAGAATCTAGTTTAATTGTTGCAGGTGGAAAGTATTTACTTTTTAAGTTTCCATTTTTGAATGTGTTTTGACTAAACATACCAATAAACTACTGATGTCTGCAGCATTCATCAATGGTCCCGAATTCTCTTCTCAGTGGAATTGGTGTTCCTCCGTGGCAGTTATCTACATGGAAAGGCAATCGTGCCGGTGTTGTTGATCCCAAAATTGCTGTTGATCTGATAATTTAACTAGCAGTGGATTCTGCACCTTGCAACAACTTGCATCTTACGCTGTCAATCCGCATGTCAAAATTCCTTGTGTTGTAGCTGCTGTGAAAATATATGCACGTTGACACAGTTGTAATTGTCCATCACGCATGCTGAAGCCATGGCCCTTTCTAAACCTACCAGATCTTTTATGCCAGCAAAAGAGCAGAGTCTTTATTGTAGGGCATTCAGCAGAACTTACCAAATCACATGTACTGCACTATCCATTGCCTTTGGTGTTGAATTCTCTTGTTCTCGCTCTCCAAGGCGAAGGCTATTCTTCCACCGCTGCTGCTTCACCGTAAGCCTGTCACTTACGGAAAAGTTGAAATTTTCAAACTGAATTTGTATATTCTATCTTGAGGTCCGGTTCATGCAGGCAGCTGTTGAAGAGGTGAAACTATCCCTGGACTGTACCACTCAATGGAGTTTTGATGCACGTGTGGGCAACTCAAGACTTGACAGCTGATAGACCTTAAGACAGCATGAAAAATTGTTTTGTTGTACCTATACACTCCCATTGTCTCCCGAGACAGATGCCAGCAACACTTTGACTTCTATTTGTCACAAGTGGCTAGTTCAGACAGCTGGTTATTTTGCGCAGTGATGATAAAAGTCTTTTGCATTCCAGCAGAGCGAAGGTCCCAGGTTCAGTGCCCGATCTGTTCGAAACCTTGGAGCTGTTGCCCATTAAAGGTAAAGGGACCCCTGACCATTAGGTCCAGTCGTGGCCGACTCGGGTTGCGGGGCTCATCTCGCTTTACTGACCAAGGGAGCCGGCGTACAGCTTCCGGGTCATGTGGCCAGCATGACTAAGCCGCTTCTGGCCAACCAGAGCAGCGCACGGAAACGCCGTTTACCTTCCCGCCAGAGAGGTACCTATTTATCTACTTGCACTTTGACGTGCTTTCGAACTGCTAGGTTGGCAGGAGCTGGGACCGAGCAACGGGAGCTCACCCCGTCGCGGGGATTCGAACCGCTGACCTTCTGATCGGCAAGCCCTAGGCTCTGTGGTTTAACCCACAGCCAATTAGGTGAGACTAAAGGTCAGGTGGCCCATTAGTCTGACTTGTACAAGTCAATGTCATGTGTTCACTGCAGCTCTCTTGTGAGTCATTCATAGATTCTGTATGTCTCTGGCTGAAAGCACCAAGATCTCTCGATGTGGAGATCTCTGGATGCTAGTCTGGCTGGCCCCTCCATCATTCTTCAGAAACAAAGCAGAAGAGCTTATTTATTGCATTTATATCCCCCCTTCAAGGAGTACATAGTTCACCTTCCTCCTCCGTTAATCCCTACGACAGCCCTGTGAGGTAGGTTAAAAGGCTGCGGCTGGCCCAAGGTGTCACTCTGTCTTTCATGCCTTAGTGGGGATTTGAACCCTGATCTCCTGGGTCCTAGTCCAGGGGTCAGCAAACTTTTTCAGCTGTGGGCCGGTCCACTGTCCTTCAGACCTTGTGGTGGGCTGGACTATATTTGGGGGGCAGGGGGAATACAGTGTACCTTGGGTTACATACGCTTCAGGTTACAGACTCTGCTAACCCAGAAATAGTTCCTCAGGTTAAGAACTTTGCTTCAGGATGAGAACAGAAATTGCGTGGTGGCGGCGCGGAAGCAGTGGGAGGCCCCATTAGCTAAAGTGGTGCTTCAGGTTAAGAACAGTTTCAGGTTCTTAAACCTGAAACGAACTAATTAATCCAGAATGAATTAAGTACTTAACCCGAGTTACCACTGTAATGAATTCCTGTGCCCCACAAATAGCCCAGAGATGCATTTTAAATAAAAGCCCACATTCTACTCATGTAAAAACACCAGGCAGGCCCCACAAATAACTCATCGAGGTGCATTTTAAATAAAAGGACATATTCTATTCATGTAAAAAACATGCTGATTCCTGGACCGTCCGTGGGCCGGATTGAGAAGGCTATTGGGCCGCATCCGGCCCCTGGGCCTTAGGTTGCCGACCCCTGTCCTAGTCCAACACTAGCCACCACACCGCACTACCTTCCAGGCGTCGTCCTGCGATGGGGCAGCTGTTTAAATCAAGCAAGTAAATATGGGAAAAGCAAAATGTCACTTAGGGAAGGATCTGAAATATTTTCCTTGAAGTTTGAATTTCCTTTATTGCAGACTGTTTTGTTTGATGATTTATTGTCTTGTAAACCACTTTGAGATTTTCTTCTTCTTTATAATGCAGTATAGAAATGAAAAATAAAAATAAATATCTTGGTTAGGTGCCTAGACATTCTGTTGTGGCAGCCATAACCCAGGTTTAAGGTGCTATTTGGCGATTAGCTTATATATGTGTGTGTTTCTAACACCGACTGAGTCAGATCTACTTCAGTATTATCCACATGGAGTAGCAGTGGCTGTTCAGGATTTCAGGCAGGGTTTTCTCCCAATTTTGCAGGGCTTTTCTTTCGTACACTGAGACCCAAGTCGATTTTGCTCACAGGAATGGAAATAAACAAGCACCTACCATTTTCTGTAGTGGGACAGCTGTACAGTCCAGCACTTCTAACTTCCATCACCTGCCTCCTGTCTTCTGCCAGTTGACGTTCCTCAACATACGCTGACTTCTCATCCTTCAGCTTCTGGGGGGAAAGCCCAGAAACCCATTACCAATGTGAATTTAACATCCATTTTGGTAATGGTTTTTTCCTTTTTCGAGTCAACCATTTTCCTGTCCGTCTCAGAGCCACGGTGCTCCAAGGGCGTCTGGCTATTAACCAGCAGGTTGCTGCTTGGAGCCAACCCAGGATTTCAGCATTGCCAACTCCAACTCTATAATTCTATAATCTTAGGGCTTTTCCTTGTTTTCTAGGTACTGCAACTCAAAGTTCAACAAAACAGCTCAGTCTGTAGAGCAGGGGTAGGCAACCTAAGGCTCAGGGGCCGGATCCGGCCCAATCGCCTTCTCAATCCAGCCCGCGGACAGTCCAGGAACCAGCGTGGATTTTACATGAGTAGAAGATGTCCTTTTATTTAAAATGCATCTCTGGGTTATTTGTGGGGCCTGCCTGGTGTTTTTACATGAGTAGAATGTGTGCTTTTATTTAAAATTCATCTCTGGGTTATTTGTGGGGCATAGGAATTCATTCATATTTTTTTCAAAATACAGTGGTGCCCCGCAAGACGAATGCCTCGCAAGACAGAAAACCCGCTAGACGAAAGGGTTTTCCGTTTTGGAGGTGCTTCGCAAAACGAATTTCCTATGGGCTTGCTTCGCAAGATGAAAATGTCTTGCGAGTTCCTGCGGGGTTTTTTCCTCCCCCCCCCTTTTCCCCAAGCCGCTAAGCCGCTTATCAGCTGATCCGCTAAGCCGCTTATCAGCTGATCCGCTAGGCCGCTTAACAGCTGATCCGCTAAGCCGCTTAACAGCTGATCCGCTAAGCCGCTTATCAGCTGATCCGCTAGGCCGCTTAACAGCTGATCCGCTAGGCCGCTTAACAGCTGATCCGCTAAGCCGCTTAACAGCTGATCCGCTAAGCCGCTTAACAGCTGATCCGCTAAGCCGCTTAACAGCTGATCCGCTAAGCCGCTAATGGGCTTGCTTCGCAAGACGAAAAAACCGCAAGACGAAGAGACTCGCGGAACGGATTCTTTTCGTCTTGCGAGGCACCGCTGTATAGTCCGGCTCACCACATGGTCTGAGGGACGGTGGACCGGCCCACGGCTGAACAAGGTTGCTGACCCCTGCTGTAGAGCATGATAATCTTAATCTCCGCGTCATCGGTTGGAGCCCCATGGGCAAATGATTCCTGCATTCAGGGGGTTGGACTAGATGACCCTCGGGGTCCCTTCTCATTCTGCGATTCTATAATCCTATGCTTTAGACGAGCAGCAAGCCTTGCCTACTGCCACCTATCGAACAGTGGGCACCATACAATTATAGCATCGTAGAGGCAGAAGGGACCCCAAGGGTCATCTAGTCCAACCCCCCTGCAATGCAGGCATCTCAAAGAAAGCATCCCTGACAGACGACCATCCAACCTCTGCTGAAAAACCTCCTGGGAAGGGGAAGAGCCCATCACCATCCCAGAGGGATACCGTTCCACTGTTGAACGGCACTCGCCGCCAGAAGGTTCTCCCCGACGTCCTCAGTGAATAGTTAAACAGCGGAACTCACTGCTGCTGGAGGCAGTGACGGCTGTTGTTGTTGTTTAGTCGTGTCTGACTCTTCGTGACCCCATGGACCAGAGCACACCAGGCACTCCTGTCTTCCACTGCCTCCCACAGTTTGGTCAAACTCATGCTGGTAGCTTTGAGAACAGTGTCCCACCATCTTGTCCTCTGTCGTCCCCTTCTCCTTGTGCCCTCCATCTTTCCCAACATCAGGATCTTTTCCAGGGAGTCTTCTCTTCTCATGAGGTGGCCAAAGTCTTTGAGCCTCAGCTTCAGGATCTGTCCTTCCAGTGAGCACTCAGGGCTGATTTCCTTCAGAATGGAGAGGTTTGATCTTCTTGCAGTCCATGGGACTCTCAAGAGTCTCCTCCAGCACCATAATTCAAAAGCATCAATTCTTCGACAATCAGCCTTCTTTATGGTCCAGCTCTCACTTCCATACATCATTACTGGGAAAACCATAGCTTTTACTATATGGACCTTTGTCGGCAAGGTGATGTCTCTCCTTTTAAAAATGCTCTCTAGGTTTGCCATCACCTTTCTCCCAAGGAGCAGGCGTCTTTTAATTTCACGACTGCTGTCACCATCTGCAGTGATCATGGAGCCCAAGAAGGTAAAATCTCTCACTGCCTCCATTTCTTCCCCTTCTATTTGCCAGGAGGTGATGGGACCAGTGGCCATGACCTTCGTTTTTTTGATGTTGAGCTTCAGACCATATTTTGCGCTCTCCTCTTTCACCCTCATTAAAATATTCTTTAACTCCTCCTCACTTTCTGCCATCGAGGTTGTGTCATCTGCAGCTATGGCTACCACCACCGAAGTCACCGGGAGCTCCGTTGGGGGCCGAAGACGGCTGTGCGGCGTGATGCAGGCATGCAACCGCGGCGTGCCCATTGCAGGGAGGGCCCCTCACTCCCGCACAGGCTGGCAGCAGCAGGGCAGGCTGGGGCTCTAACCTGGCCTTTGGCTTGGAGCCAATTTGATTCCCTCCCCCTCTTTCTTTTCTCTTTTCCTTTCTCCTCCTGCGATGAGGCTACATTTTAATATTTTGATGCTTCAATATTTTAATGTTGTATTTTAATTTTGTTTTTTAAGTTGCATTCATTCAACTTATTTTTATTATTGCTTGTTAGCCGCCCTGAGCTCGGCCTTGGCTGGGGAGGGCGGGGTATAAATAAAAATTATTATTATTATTAACCACCACCACCTGCAGCTGCTGCAGGAGGCGCAACCCCTTGCGCGCGCGCGCGCGCCCCCGCCCAGCCTTCCCCAGCGGCGCGTGCTTGGTGCGCGCGCGCGCGAGAGAGAGAGAGAGAGAGAGCGAGCGCGTGTCGTGCAAGCGGCAGGCTGGCCGTTGCCCCTGGTTACCGCCCGGGCCCCGACGTTCCATTCGCGCGCCGCCCGCCCCCGCGCGCTCCTGCAGCTGCAAAAGAAGTCCCTGCGCCGTCGGAGGGCGCGCTGCTGGCGGGGGCACGGCGGAGAGGGCGGCAGGTGAGTGGCAGGTGCCAACTCCGGGATCCCCGGTGCTGCGTGTGCTTTTCAAGGAGGAGGTGCGGGCACCCACCTCCCAGGAGCCGGAGCAAAGGTATTTTTTGGGGGGTGCCAGCTGGGCCCCACCACCGCGGGTGTCCGGGGCCGTGGGTGCCATGCAAGGTGCATGGCCCTGGCACCGACAGCTGTGGGTGCCCGGCCCCTTCATGGGGAATTTTGTGGCAGGGAGTCGGCACCTATGTTCGACAGTATGCCAGTCTGTGCCACCCCAGAGGAAAGGGGGAGCGGTGGCTGGGACTCGCAGCCGCCTCCCTTCCTCGCACGTCGCAGCCGCTGCCAGGAGAGCCTCCTGCCATCTCTGCCCTGCCTCTCTTTCCCACAGGATCGGGCGCAAGGGGGCTGCATCCCCCCTTGGATGCGCTGCCCAAAGAGCCAACTGGCAGAGGCCGGCTAAGGCAGGTTCTACAGGGGCAGCAGATACTGGCATAGATCTTGGAACGGGTCCCAGGGGTCATCTAGCTCAACCCCCCTGCAATGTGGGGTTCGAACGCACGGCCCTGAGATGAAGAGTCTGTCGTTCTACCGACTGAGCTATTTTCGCAGTAGCTTCCTTCCATCTTTGTTCCCCGTTCCTTCCCTCACCCCTTTTTCCCTGATGAGGAGGAGGGGGGCTGTTTTGTGGTTCCCCTCAGGGGCCAAAATGTCTTGGGCCGGCCCTGGGTCCAGGGGCAGGTGATGACTGGAAAATGCAATGGTACAGAGAAGGGACAAACAGGGAACCGCAGGCAGCAGTAGCAGCGCCTTAGGGCGGCCGGGTGAAAAAGAGTCACGCACAACCTGTAAGATTTGTGTACAGTGGTACCTCGGGTTAAGTACTTAATTCGTTCCGGAGGTCCGTTCTTAACCTGAAGCACCACTTTAGCTAATGGGGCCTCCTGCTGCCGCCGTGCCACCGGAGCACAATTTCTGTTCTCATCCTGAAGCAAAGTTCTTAACCTGAAGCACTATTTCTGGGTTAACGGAGTCTGTAACCTGAAGCGTATGTAACCCGAGGTACCACTGTAGTTCTTCTTGTTTGGATCAAGCCTAATAGGACAATTCCAGAGGATGCTACAGGACTACAGTGGTACCTCAGGTTACATACGCTTCAGGTTAGAGACTCCGCTAATCCAGAAATAATGCTTCAGGTTAAGAACTTTGCTTCAGGATAAGAACAGAAATCGTGCTCCAGTGGCGCGGCAACAGCAGGAGGCCCCATTAGCTAAAGTGGTGCTTCAGGTTAAGTACAGTTTCAGGTTAAGAACGGACCTCTGGAACGAATTAAGTACTTAACCTGAGGTACCACTGTATTAGGATAGCTCAGCTAGTAGAGCACAAGACTCAGAATTTCAGGGTTATGGATTCCAGCCCCATGTTGTGCAAAAGATTCTTGCATTACACAGGGCTGGACTAAATGGACCTTGTGACTGTCAACGTTTCCCTTTTATTAAAGGGAAATTCCCTTATTCCGAGGACGCGGGTGGCGCTGTGGGTTAAACCACAGAGCCTAGGACTTTCCGATCAGAAGGTCGGCGGTTCGAATCCCTGCGACGGGGTGAGCTCCCGTTGCTCGGTCACTGCTCCTGCCCACCTAGCAGTTCGAAAGGATGTCAAAGTGCAAGTAGATCAATAGGTACCGCTCCAGCGGGAAGGTAAACGGTGTTTCCGTGCACTGCTCTGGTTCGCCAGAAGCGGCTTAGTCATGATGGCCACATGACCCAGAAGCTGTACGCCGGCTCCCTCGGCCAATAAAGCGAGATGAGCGCCGCAACCCCAGAGTCGTCCACAACTGGACCTAACGGTCAGGGGTCCTTTTACCTCTTACCCTTATTCCGAATAGGATTCCTCACAAGAAAAGGGAAAAGTTGACAGCTATGCCTTGTGACCCCCATCCAACAATTCCGTGATTCTTACCTCCTCTCCCAAGGGGTCATGTGTTGGTGATTTGTAATAATTTTTATAATCTTGCTACAGATGCTTGCCTTTTTTTTTAGCCAGCCAAGTGCCACACTTTTAAAAATTGGGTGGAAAATGGTGCTGATTCCGCTTAATTGATTGTGATTTTATGTAAACTGTGTTACTTTTATTGTTGTTAGCTGCTCTGAGCCCGGCTTCGGCTGGGGAGGGCGGGATATAAATAAAATTTTATTATTATTATTATTATTATTATTATTATTATTATTATTATTGCTGTTGAGTATCCCCAGAAAAAAAGCACAGCCGATTACTAAATTTTGTGCACTGTGTTCTAACGTCTAAGCTACTTTGAAGGGGATTGGAAAGCAGCTTATATAAATATTTTTTATTTTATTTTATGAAGGATTTGCCGGTCAGCTGCTGCAAGGTGGTAGTGTGTTCGTTTTGTCTCGTAGTGTTGTTGGAAAGTGGGAAGAAGGATTGGAGATGCACCCTTGCGCTTGTTTAGTTACAGCTTTGTCCATACACACCTGCTGCATTGCTGTTTTAATAGTAAGTCTGAACCATGTGTTTCTAGTTATTTGATAAAAACAAAGAAATGCAATATAGTATTTAGAACTGTGTGTGGAAGAACAGTAGCGATAATAATATAGTGAGTCTAATCGAAAGTTAAATGTATTTATTTTTTATTTTTTATTCTTTTCTTTATTGATTTATTTTTTTCCTTTTCCTTTTTTCTTTCTTGATTTTCTTCTCACTTTTTCTTTTTTCTCTCCCTCCTTTTTCTCTTCCTCTATCCCCTTTGGTCTCTTTTCCTTCTTACCCGCTAAGAAAGAGACAAAGTTAAATATGAAAAGTTGACTAATTCAAAGTGAATAGTTGGTTAACTATTGTTAAAGATGGTTCGCCATACCGAATAGCGAATTGATGTTTTAGTTATTGTTGATTTATTGTTATTGCTGATTCTTAAAGAAAATTTATTAATTAAGAAAAAAGAAAAAGCATTCCTCCTGCGATGGAAGCGTACCAGAGCCTATCCCAGCTGGTTGCCTGAGTTAAATTTCTGGTTACCGGAGACAACTTTTGGACTGTGTTTTTCAAACATCCTGTTATGGTGCGCAAGGCAAGCTGCAAAGCAAGGTTTGTGCACCTCATAACAAGCCTGCCGTGGAGAAGACAGCCTCTATCTTCAGCCTGAGTCTCAAGCTGAAATGCCTCATTAAAAAAGGATAATGAGCGTCTTCGTCGTGCACACGGTGACGCTGATTTCTCTCTCGTAGCCAAGCGATTCATCAGCTGCTTGAATCCAAATGGAAAAGTATGAGATCCTTGGGCTGGTGGGAGAAGGAAGCTACGGAATGGTGATGAAATGCCGGAACAAGGAGACCGGCAGAGTCGTTGCCGTCAAGAAGTTTCTGGAAAGCGAGGATGACAAAATGGTTAAAAAAATCGCCATGAGAGAAATCAAGCTTCTCAAGGTGAGCTTACTGCTGGGGATCTTCAGAGACGTGTAGCTCTTTTCTTTAATCAGTATAAGCTTCCTGACTTCGGATAGTCATATTCAAAAGGTTCGCGCAGAACAATTGCCAGTATCTAACTGCATTATATGGGACGCGGGTGGCGCTGTGGGTTAAACCACAGAGCCTACGACTTGCCGATCAGAAGGTCGGCGGTTCGAATCCCCGCGACAGGGTGAGCTCCCGTTGTTCAGTCCCTGCTCCTGCCAACCTAGCAGTTTGAAAGCAAGTCAAAGTGCAAGTAGATAAATAGGTACCGCTGCGGCGGGAAGGTAAACGGCATTTCCGTGCGCTGCTCTGGTTTGCCAAAAGCGGCTTAGTCATGCTGGCCACATGACCCGGAAGCTGTACGCCGGCTCCCTCGGCCAATAAAGCGAGATGAGCGCTGCAACCCCAGAGTCGGCCACGACTGGACGTAATGGTCAGGGGTCCCTTTACCAGTAATGTCATATAAGTTTTAAGAAACACACATGATTCTAAATAACTTCCGTAGGAGGCATTTTTGAATGGGACTCTGCTCCCAGCCCTCTTTGGCCCCGCAATGAATAAGAATCAGGTGGGAATTTTTTTCCTACAGTTTCCCCGCCCTCTTAGAATGCAATGCCGGTTTGAAGGTAGACAGGAGTAGGCAGGCGCATTTTATCTGCATTCATTCTGCTGCTCAGCTCTGATTTTATATGTTTAGGCAACTTTGCGGGTGGCTTCTGGTTTCTGTAACTCCATATGGTAAGATTTTTTTTGATACAGTGGTGCCCCACAAGACAAAATTAATCCGTTCCGTGAGTCTCTTCGTCTTGCGGTTTTTTCGTCTTGCGAAGCACGGCCATTAGCAGCTTAGTGGCTATTAACGGCTTAGCGGCTATTAACGGCTTAGCGGCTATAAGAAAAAGGAAACAAACTCGCAAGAACTCGCAAGACGTTTCGTCTTGCGAAGCAAGCCCATAGGGAAATTCGTCTTGCGGAACGACTCAAAAAACAGAAAACCCTTTTGTCTAGCGAGTTTTTCGTCTTGCGAGGCATTCGTCTTGCAGGGCACCACTGTACAACTTCCCACATGGTCTGGGCAATTGTAGTGCTAATACTGGCACATATACCGTATTTTTCCATGTATAGGACTAGGTCCGTCCCCCCCAAAAAATAATGTCCAAAATTTGGGGGCATCTTATACACGGATAGATTTCTCCCCATTTTCTTAAATCGGAGTCCCCCAAAATAGGGGCATCTTATACATGGAAAACACAGTATATGGGCTGGCACAAATGCACGCATTCTAATCTGCACTTGAAAGATTGGGAACGGGATTATGTGTTCCCTTTCCCCAACACCTCCACTCTCCAGAACGGAAAACCCCTGCTCACCTTAACCATGGTTAACTGGTTCTTCTGCAATAAGTGCTAACCAGGGTTTCATCTTAATCAGACTTTGAAACTGACTCCTGTGGTTAAGATGGAACTTGATTTGCATTAGCTTCCATTTATACTAGATCTGATGCAACGCTTTGCTGCTGCAGCACTACCCAGAACTAAGCCATGGTTTGGCTCAGCGTTCCATGAAAACCCGGGCTCATGGTTTGTCTCCTAGCAAGCCACAAGTTGTAACCAAAGTCTGTTCTTGGCTTACAGCTTGCGTGGCGAGTTCCCGCCTCCCCCCTCAGAAATAAAGACACAAGACACAAGAATTCGAGTTAATGGGTCAAATTAGGCCACAACTTTATTGATTACAGGAATTGAGCGGTATTGGTATTGGCTTAGGCATTGGTCCTAACAACTAACCGGCTTCAGCCCGCTTGCTTGAAGACCGGTAAGGGTTAACCGCCAGTAGGGGGAGTCCTGCTGAGGCACGTCAACTAGGAGCTCCCCCCGGAGTTACCGCTCGGGGGCGTGCCGTGGGCCCACACCTCCATAGGCTTAGGACAAGGCCACGCCCCCCGGAATCCTTTACCGGACTACCCTTTTGTTTTGGGGGAAGGTGATGGCGCTTCCTCCCCCCATTTGCATAACAATACCCCTACCAATGCCTAACTGCCAATACCGCTGAGTTGTGACGGATTGCTACGAGGTAGGCGAAAACCAAGTGGCTGGAGCCAATCTGTCAGATGGAAAAATTCCTACCAGGCCCCTTAGCGGTGACCAACCGGAGTCCATCCTAGCCTAACGGGTGGGAGGGGAGGGAAAAACCTGGCAAGCTGTAGCACGAGAAAGAGGGAGACCCTTCACCGCGCCAGACCTTAATACAATGAGGCCACGCCCCCCCCAGGCCAGCTGATTGGCTGGGCCGGGGATGACGCGCCCGAGGATTCCCTAGGTCCCTAGTGGTTTTGTGGGTTGTCTGGGGGAGACAAACTATCATAAGCTATGGCTTGCATGCAGCACTAAAGCAAACTGCGGCTTAGCGCTGGGTAGTGTGGTAGCAACAGAACCAGGGCAGGCGCCAAGTCGCCGCAATTTTAGCTCTTGAGTACCCACACATTTGCTTGTTCGTGTTCAGCCACAGTATTGCTTAGCATTAAATTCAAAGAAGCCACTATGTTATAAACATTGTTAGGCAAAGGCAATTTCCCTCTGACAAATTCCCTAAGTTAGGCACCAGAACCAGGGCAGTTCTTAACTTTCAGCCTCTTCCGTCGATTACATTTAGCTGTATGTATTAAAGGTTGCGATTCTAGTACTGTGGAATAAACTACCGTATTTTTTGCTCTATAAGACTCGCTTTTTCCTTCCTAAAAAGTAAGGGGAAATGTATGTGCGTCTTATGGAGTGAATGCAGATTGCACAGCTATCCCTGAAGCCAGAACAGTAAGAGGGATTGCTGCTTTCACTGCGCAGCGATCCCTCTTGCTGTTCTGGCTTCTGAGATTCAGAATATTTTTTTTCTTGTTTTCCTCCTCCAAAAACTAGGTGCGTCTTGTGGTCTGGTGTGTCTTATAGAGCAAAAAATACGGTATATGAGAGCGTTTGTCAGGATTACTGAAGCAATGTGAAGCATTTGGAGTAATTTTAAAAAGCATCGTGTGAAAACAAAAGCTGCAATCCTAAGTCATGTCTACTTGGGAAGTAAGCCCTGTTGAACGCAGAGGGACTTGCTTCCAAGTAAACATGCACAGGATCAGGCTGCAAATATTATTCTCTGTTTCCTTAGCGTTGTATGTATTCAAGGGGCAATTATAGTGAGTGTTTTCAGACTCTCTGTCTGCTGTAGTTTTGTGACGCATTTGCTGTCTCCTGATAGCAATTAAGGCACGAGAACTTGGTGAACCTGCTGGAAGTCTGTAAGAAGAAGAAACGATGGTATCTGGTCTTTGAATTCGTGGACCACACAGTCCTTGATGATCTTGAGATGTTTCCAAATGGCCTGGATTACAACAGAGTTCGGAAATACTTATTTCAGATTATAAAAGGGATAGGATTTTGCCATAGTCATAATGTAAGTAAGCTGTTACGTCCGCTTGGTTATTTGTGTTTGTGTGCTGTTTGTTCTTGGTCAAACACGTCAGATTTATTGATTCAAGGATCTGAGCTTTTAGTTTCAAATATATGTCACAGTAAGGGACGCAGGCGGCGCTGTGGGTTAAACCACTGAGCATAGGACTTGCCGATCAGAAGGTTGGTGGTTCGAATCCCCGCGACGGGGTGAGCTCCCGTTGCTCGGTCCCTGCTCCTGCCAACCTAGCAGTTCGAAAGCACGTCAAAGTGCATGTAGATAAATAGGTACCACTCCGGCAGGAAGGTAAACGGCGTTTCCGTGCGCTGCTCCGGTTCGCCAGAAGCGGCTTAGTCCTGCTGGCCACATGACCCGGAAGCTGTACGCCGGCTCCCTCGGCCAATAAAGTGAGATGAGCGCCGCAACCCCAGAGTTAGTCACGACTGGACGTAATGGTCAGGGGTCCCTTTACCTTTACCTTATGTGATGTAATATAGATGGAGTTTTTTATGCCAGTAATTGCAAATCATCACTTGATGTCGCAGTCATCAATTTAGGAATGTTTACATGTGGACTAGCTGGCCACCTTGGTGCTTAAGTGCAAAGAACCTGGGCTAATCTAAACACACACATGCTTCTTCTCCTTTTTAAGATCATACACCGAGATATTAAACCTGAGAATATATTGGTCTCCTATTCTGGAATTATCAAACTCTGCGATTTTGGATTTGCTCGAACCCTGGCAGCCCCTGGCGAAGCTTACACAGATTACGTGGCAACGCGATGGTATCGGGCTCCTGAGCTGCTTGTTGGAGATATCAAATATGGCAAGTAAGGAATCGTAGAATACGTTACTGGGTCATTATTATTATTAATGACAACAGAAATGTTGCTGTTCAAGCTCAGGGGGTGATAAATTGCAGCCAAAGCAAGGTTTGGTCACTGGAGGGAGGCTGGTTTTGGCACCATCCTTGTAATTATTATTATTATTATTATTATTATTATTATTATTTTACTTATTATCCCCTCCCATCTGGCCGCCCCCCCCAGCCACTCTGGACGGCTTCCAACAGGATATTAAAAACTTCTAAAAGTGAGATAGTTGTTTATTTCCTTGACATCTGGTGGGAGGGCATTCCACAGGACGGGTGCCGCCACCAAGAAGGCCCTATGCCTGGTTCCCTGTAGCCTCACTTCTCACAGTGAGGGAACTGCCAGAAGGCCCTTGGAGCTGTACCTCAGTGTCCGGGCTGGATGATGGAGGTGGAGATGCTCTTTCAGGTATACTGGGCCGAGGCAGTAATGAATATAAGCTGCCTCAGGTGTAGCCAGTCACAATCAGCTGCCTATCATTGTTGTAAAATGTGTTCTTTGGCGGAGCTGCCTCTAAATATGGCGCCTGTTTTCCCTCCCCAGGGCTGTTGATGTGTGGGCCATTGGCTGCCTGGTAACAGAAATGCTTACCGGAGAGGCGCTTTTCCCTGGAGACTCGGATATTGACCAATTGTACCATATTATGAAATGTTTGGGTGAGAAAGCATCCCTTGTTTTCTTCTGTGCAGCCAGCAGAGCTTTGGAACCTTCAAGCCGATAGCGAAGGCAGAAGAAAGAGAGCCTGAAATACTTAGGTTGTTGGATAGGATTATGTTGACAGGTTCCTAAATCCTTCAGGGTCCTGGGTTGTAAATCTAGATGGCCCTTCTGTGAGTTGACAGCAAGAGATTTTGCACGCCATTAAGGATGGCAGAGTGCAATAGGTCTGATCCATGTAGCACAACTGGGTTATGATTAGTAATAATAATTCATGATTAAAGGTAAAGGTAAAAGGACCCCTGACCATTAGGTCCAGTCGTGACCGACTCTGGGGTTGCGGCGCTCATCTCGCTTTACTGGGCGAGGAGCCGGCATACAGCTTCCGGGTCTTGTGGCCAGCATGACTAAGCCGCTTCTGGTGAACCAGAGCAGCGCACAGAAACGCCGTTTACCTTCCCGCCGGAGCGGTACCTATTTATCTACTTGCACTGGTGTGCTTTCGAACTGCTAGGTGGGCAGGAGCAGGGACCAAGCAATGGGAGCTCACCCCATCGCGGGGATTTGAACCGCCGACCTTCCGACCGGCAAGTCCTAGACCCACAGTAATTTATTATCAGCAGCAACCTGTTTGTCTCCAGGACACACAGAGTCAGTTTGCAGAATTAAAGAAAGCAAATAAAAGATAAACTACGCAGCTATCCTAAAGCAAGGTAATTGGAAACAGTGAATTAAAACACCAGGTTTAAAGCCAAGTGCAGGGAAGTAGCAGAAAACTCAGGGATCAAATAATTTGGCTTAAGCTGACTGCAGTTTTGCATTCTGAAAACTGAACAGTCTTATAAATGATTATTAATTCCAGGTAACTTAATCCCAAGGCACCAAGAGTTGTTCTACAAAAACCCTCTTTTTGCTGGAGTGCGGTTGCCTGAAGTCAAGGAACTCGAACCTCTTGAAAAACGATATCCCAAACTCTCTGTTGCCGTCATAGAATTTGCTAAGGTACGTGCCTTGCCGATTCCTTAACTTTCCATTTTGTTCCTGTTGGCAAAGCCTTCTGTTTGCTTTCAGGAGCCAGCCCTTGATAATGAGTTAGGAAGATTGAAATCAGTGGGAACTTAACTGGGAGCTGAGTCAGTTAACCCAGATTTGCTTTTGTTCAGGTGCTAGAGGCCTTTTCAGACACAGAAAGGAATACAGCTGCCCAGTATCAGCCCCTGAGATTGGCAGGAAGTATAAAGCCCCTAAATTAGCCAGGCCTCGTATAAATAAAGGTAAAGGGACCCCTGACCATTAGGTCCAGTCGCAGACGACTCTGGGGTTGTGGCACTCATCTCACTTTACTGGCGAGGGAGCCGGCGTACAGCTTCCGGGTCATGTGGCCAGCATGACTAAGCCGCTTCTGGCGAACCAGAGCAGCACACGGAAATGCCGTTTACCTTCCCGCCAGAGTGGTACCTATTTATCTACTTGCGCTTTGACGTGCTTTTGAACTGCTAGGTTGGCAGGAGCTGGGACAGAGCAACAGGAGCTCATCCCGTCGCGGGGATTCGAACCGCTGACCTGCTGATCGGCAAGTCGTAGGCTCTGTGGTTTAACCCACAGCGCCACCCACATCCCCTCGTATAAATACTTGAAGCCTAACCTGTCCTTGCCTGGTCAGCAGACTTCTCTGTTTGCTGCTCTCAAACTTCTGTCATGCATACGCACATTATAAGCTGCGATGTGCATGTAACACACTATGTATTCCAGTTATTTATTAGCTGCTTATCAGGGTTAAGTCACAAAGCAGTGGAGAGACAGAAATAAAGCAACAGAACTTCAGGCAACGCATGAAGCACTGAGTGAATGAAGACAAACTGGGGCATGACAGCTGCGGAATTAGATAGCCACAGTTCCTTTAAGGAGAGGCAGTAGCAGAAAGTTATGGTTTTGAGGCCCGAAAGAGGTCCAGAACTGCAGGACCACCATCAAGAAGGCCCCGTAATCTCACGTGCTTGTCAGCCTTACCAGTTTCACCAGTGGGCACATAATGTCATATGTGTAGTCTCAGCCATAGAGTTTGGGACTGACAGTAAGACCCTAGCCTAGAGAAAGCTGCACTTTCTATCTCTAAAAGTCAATGGTACATCATTTCCCTCTCCTTCCTTCCTTCCTTCCTTCCTTCCTTGACTTAATAGAGAGGACCCGGTGAGCTACCATATTTTTTGCTCTATAAGACTCACTTTTTCCCCTCCTAAAAAGTAAGGGGAAATGTGTGTACGTCTTATGGAGCGAATGCAGGCTGCGCAGCTATCCCAGAAGCCAGAACAGCAAGAGGGATTGCTGCTTTCACTGCGCAGCGATCCCTTCTGCTGTTCTGGCTTCTGAGATTCAGAATATTTTTTTTCTTGTTTTCCTCCTCCGAAAACTAGGTGCGTCTTGTGGTCTGGTGCATCTTATAGAGCGAAAAATACGGTATTTTAAGCATGCTTGAAGATGCTCAGTTGATTTTCCCCTTGCAATGTCCTTACAACCCTATAATATTGCAAACTGTTTTTAAAAGCCCTCACAATTTCAAACGTTGTTTGTTATGTGGTATGAGGAGAGTAGCTGCGGTTTGCCTGAAACCTTGCGGGTGCAGAACTACTTGCATTGTTATTTTGATCCCGGCAAATATCAATGAAATTCAACCTTTGGGATTTTCCTTTTTCCTCCTCCACTGTATTTACAAGAAAAAATTTGATCTTATGTTAGCAATGTCTCCAGACTGATCCGGACAAAAGACCATCCTGTACTGAGCTGCTGCAGTGTGATCTGTTCAACAAAGATTCCTTCACTGAAAGGTGTGTGGCTTTTCCTTGTTCAGCGGAGCTGGGCCTTGAAAGGAAATTGTACTGAGAATTTTTGGGCGTTGCAGTCGGTTAAGGGTTTCCTATAACTCTGTGAGTGCCCATAATTCCTTGAGGGGAAGAATGTGTGCCCATAATTCCTTGGGGGAAATGAAAGCTTTCCAGGGGAGAGGTGCAAAGAAAAGGTTTAGTACTTTCTAGTTCTCCTTTGACTACTTCACTGCAAATCCCCACTCCCTGCTGTCGGAAGTGAAGTGAACACAAATTTTGAAGTACAGTGGTACCTCGGGTTACATACGCTTCAGGTTACACACTCCGCTAATCCAGAAATAGTGCTTCTGGTTAAGAACTTTGCTTCAGGATGAGAACAGAAATTGTGCGGCGGCAGCAGGAGGCCCCATTAGCTAAAGTGGTGCTTCAGGTTAAGAACAGTTTCAGGTTAAGTACGGACCTCCGGAATGAATTAAGTACTTAACTTGAGGTACCACTGTACCACTGCCAAATGTCTAGTACCACCACCAGACTTAGGGCGGTTCCCCTTAAGGCAGGGGCCAGCAAACGTTTTCAGCAGGGGGCCGGTCCACTGTCCCTCAGACCATGTGGGGGGCCGGACTATATTTTGGGGGGAGGGAAATTTCTATGCCGCACAAATAACCCAGAGATGCATTTTAAATAAAAGCACACATTCTACTCATGTCAAAACACCAGGCAGGCCCCACAAATAACCCAGAGATGAATTTAAAGAAAAGGACACATTCTACTCATGTAAAAACACGATGATTCCCAGGCTATCCGTGGGCCGGATTGAGAAGGCGATTGGGCTGGATCCGGCCCCCCGGGCCTTAGTTTGCCTACCCATGCCATGGGTAGGCAGTGGGTTTTTACATGAGTAGAATGTGTGATTTCCCACATTGTAATTATTATTTTTTAAAGCTACCATTTGCAGTCATGGAAGTTGCTGTAGTTGAAATTTCTGAATCCCCAGCTCAAATTACCATCTTTTCACGTGAGCTGTATGAACTGAGGGGGGAAATGGAGAGGGCAGCAATGGGATATCGTGTGTGAATTTTAAGTCCGCACATTATATGCATAATTCTTGTTCTGATCTCTTTTCCTTCCCATCTTAAGATGCTGGAGTTATATTTCTCTTCTTCCTTTTTTATCTCCAAGGGTGGCTTTGGGTTTCGCTGTTCATTTACCTTTCAAGTTTGTGGTGATGTTAAGATTGGGGCAGAACATATTATCCAGAGTCCTTGTTGCAAGGGAGAGGATTCCAGTATAATAACAATAATATAATTCATTATTTATACCCCGCCCATCTGGCTGGGTTTCCCCAGCCACTCTGGACGGCTCCCAACCGAATATTAAAAACACAATACCGCATTAAACATTAAAAACTGCATGTGCCTTCAGTGTGTTCAGAATTTTGTCTACAGAGCAATTAATTTAAAAAAGGTTTCATTTTGTACATGTGCTCTTCTTCTTCAAACACAAAAAATAAAGGTTCACCCAGGAACTTAAAGCAAAGATCCAGAAAGAAAGAGACCACCCTTTGCCCAAGAAATCGAAAATAAGCAGGAAAGACAAAGACGATTCCGGTGATGAAAAGAAAACGCTGGTAATCCAGGTTTGTGGAACTTGGTTTATTCTTCCATATTCATATCTGTAGTGCTTTGTTCTGAGTCAGACCATGTCCCCTGGTCTTGTCTCTGCTGATGAAGTTCTCAGTTAAAAGTTGCTGAGAATGGAGGAGAACAAGAAGGAAGGAGGATAGTTCCTGATTAGGAAGAAGAATTGTTGGTGATGCCACTAGCAAATTCATGCCATGCAAGATAGATGCCAGCAGGCAGTAAAATCACGCTGTTCAAAGTTGGAATTAACTCTTTGTTAGCAAAAACACTGTTATAAGAAAAAAAAACCTGCTCTTTTCCCCTTATGGGGTATCCAAGAGCCCCTATACAGTCCTTAAGTGGGTTCCCTATTGGCAGGAGAAAATAACAGAGGCCAACCAGAGAATATTGAGAAGCAAAGCAGCTAGTAAGCCTGATCTTTATGGATCTGTTGCAACAGGGTGCTCCCCTCACAAACAGGAAAGGAGGAGGAACCCCGAACAAGGGCGCGCAAGCCCTTATATAGTCTTTTGAAATTGCCCACCCTGTAGCCCAAGATCACCCCCCTAAAACATCATACATGCATCACAGAAGGAGGTGGATCTACCGCAGAAATCCTCTCTGCCAGGACACCTGATAATGGTCGCTGGTTGCATTACCTGGGCAGCCTGGCCATTCTTTGGTGGTGGTTAATACTTTAGTTCAGGCATAGGCAAACTCAGCCCTCCAGATGTTTTGGGACTACAACTCCCATCATCCCTAGCTAACAGGACCCAGGGGTCAGGGATGATGGGAATTGTAGTCCCAAAACATCTGGAGGGCCGAGCTTGCCTATGCTTGCTTTAGTTCCTGAATGCAGGTCACAGGCTCACCCTATTCATACACAAATATGCCCTAAAGACAGGATTTGCAAGCAAAAGACAATCCGAAGGCTTTCGCATTTCCTTTCTCTTTGCAGAGAAATATTTGGGGTCAATTTGGGAGAATCAAAATGGCTTCAGGATTGCTCTCCTGTACTATTTCAGACACGTGGTTTATATACTTCATCATTTTCATCATCGTTTTTAATTTGTATACCGTCTTTCTATCTTACAATACTCAAGGCGGTTTACAAGCTGAAGAAAGAAAAAATGTACATCTTATAACAATCTAATGCAATACAAAAATGTGATAATAAAACAAAACTTTAAAATAAGCAACCTACATCAACAAAATGTTGAAAATATTGTTGAATATCAGCATATAAAAGTTAAACAGAAATCCACCCAACGGTTACAATCAATAATTTCTAATTACGTATGTGTTTGCCTTGTACATTTATGAACGTTTAATTTATGTTTGGGACCTTAGAATTCTTATAACAACACGATATCCGCAGACTTAGCTGTCAGGCCTGATCAGCTTATCCCCAGTCGTTCTGAACCCATGAATTACCGTATTTTCCACTCTATAAGACGCACCTGACCACAAAACGCACCTAGTTTTTGGAGGAGGAAAAAAAGAAAAAAAATATTCTGAATCTCAGAAGCTAGAACAGCAAGAGGGATCGCTGCGCAGTGAAAGCAGCAATCCCTCTTGCTGTTCTGGCTTCTGGGATAGCTGCGCAGCCTGCATTCGCTCCATAAGACGCACACACATTTCCCCTTACTTTTTAGGAGGGGAAAAGTGAGTCTTATAGAGAAAAAATACGGTAGTTACAGAGACTGAAATTCCCCTCCTCCCCGAAGTCACCCGTCCCCTCTTCTCCAGGGCTTTCCCCCCAAACAACCTGCCACTCATTTTTTTAACACTACAATGCTTGGATTTGAAACAGGACTTGGGCATGGAATCCAAGCTGAAAGACTCCAAGCTGTTCAGAATGAAGTTGTCCAAGGTTGACGCCGAGAAATCGGACAGATCTTCAAATGCGAGTTTCCTGTATGAGAGTGGAGCTGGGCAGGTCAAGGCGATTCCTTCGACAACTTTGAAAGATTCCAGTAGCAGCCTGGATTATGTGAAAAATCCCGGCACGGTGATCCCTCCCATTACACAGAATTATTCCACCATATCCTCCAGCATCGGTGGAAACCCTGGCTTGGGGTCAAAACTGGGAATGCATAATTACAGGTAAAGTAAAATAACAAAGTACCTAAACCACTGAGCCTCTGGAGCTTGCCGATCAAAAGGTCGGCAGTTCGAATCCCCGCGACGGGGTGAGCTCCTGTTGCTCGGTCCCTGCTCCTGCCAACCTAGCAGTTTGAAAGCACGTCAGAGTGCAAGTAGATAAATAGGTACCGCTCCGGCGGGAAGGTAAACGGCATTTCCGTGCGCTGCTCTGGTTCACCAGAAGCGGCGTAGTCATGCTGGCCACGTGACCCGGATACTGTCTGTGGACAAACGCCGGTTCCCTTGGCCTATAGAGCGAGATGAGCGCCGCAACTCTAGAGTCATCCACGAATGGTCAGGGGTAAAAAGGTAAAGGGACCCCTGACCATTAGGTCCAGTCCTGAACGACTCTGGGGTTGCGACGCTCATCTCGCTTTATTGGCCGAGGGAGCCGGCGTACATCTTCCAGGTCGTGTGGCCAGCATGACTAAGCCGCTTCTGGCGAACCAGAGCAGCGCACGGAAATGCCATTTACCTTCCCACCGGAGTGGTACCTATTTATCTACTTGCACTTTGATGTGCTTTCGAACTGCTAGGTTGGCAGGAGAAGGGACCGAGCAATGGGAGCTCACCCCGTGGCAGGGATTCGAACCGCTGACCTTCTGATCAGCAAGTCCTAGGCTCTGTGGTTTAACCCACAGCGCCACCTGTGTCCCTAATAATGGTCAGGGGTACCTTTACCTTTATTCAGCATTAGAACAAAGGAAAATCATGTCTGCTTCCCTTCGTGTCCAAGCAAACAGCATAAAACAAAAGCTATACACAACGGAAGTTCCCAGCAGGCTGTGCTGGACTGTAAACAGGCATGTGACACACAACAGTCATGCCTGTTCCTTTTAAGGTGGAACAGAACATCAATATCCTAACGCGTAGCCCTTTAGGGAGCTGTGATTGGTTGCACTAACCTACATGGTTGGTGCCGAAGATATTGTTGTGCAAAACAGTCCTTACTGCTTAGCATTTTCTACAATGCTCTGATAAAATAGTTAGCATGCTTTCAGTGTCTCTTAATATATTATCCTTGCGTTGCAAAAAGGGAATGGGGGCCGAGGGCTTAAGTTTGCCGATCCTAAAACCACTGGGTACATTTGTGACTGAGGCGAGATTTGAGTCAGGATTTGACACAGCTTCAGACTTAGGTTGAAGTGAATGGATCAGTCCCGGTGATTCATGGCTTTCGGTTGGATTTTCTGGGTTCCATGATTTCTGAGTCCTTGGTATACCTTTTTATGACAAAGTTAGGTCCGTTTTCCATAGGACATGTCCTGAATAGGTACTTAAAAGTATCCCAGGTTCACTATCCTGGATTTTTTATGTGTGAGTTCTTCCCATTAACTGTGCTAGAGTGGGGAAGCCAGCTATAAGCATGTTGACACAACTTCCATTTGCTAATTAAGTGGCCTAATTAAGCCCAAGTCTGTCTTCTGAGCTTATAACTTCCTGCTTGTGCGCTTCCCAGAGGCATCGGGCTGGTCACTGGGGGAAACAGGATGGTATTCTCGAGATACGACTTTTGATTTGATTGGTAAATGCTGGATTCAGAGTGGAGCTCGTTCTTCTTTCGTTTTGCTCCTCTAAAGGCTTTTGCAGACAAACAGGTCTTCCTCAGTCCTAGCCAACCTGCTCCACTCTTTGACGTGAAGGGCTGAGGAACCCGTGTGATTTTTAGGGAAGTGGCCCACAACAGTTTATGCCACGATAAATCTCCCAGTCTTTAAGGTGCCCTGCAACTCTTTGAACCAAGCCAGAGACCCTGTCTGCGGCCCCTATCTTCATACCTCTGCCCTGGGCTTGCTGCCTAGTACAGTGGTACCTTGGGTTACATACGCTTCAGGTTACATATATTTTATATTTTATACCCCGCCCATCTGGCTGAGTCTCCCCAGCCACTCTGGGCGGCTCCCAATCAAGTATTAAAAACAATACAGCGTTAAATATTAAAAACTTCCCTGAACAGGGCTGCCTTCAGATGTCTTTTAAAGATAAGATAGCTACTTATTTCCTTCACATCTGAAGGGAGGGTGTTCCACAGGGTGGGCGCCATTACCGAGAAGGCCCTCTGTCTGGCTCCCTGTAGCCTTACTTCTCGCAATAAGGGAACTGCCAGAAGGCCCTTGGCACTGGATCTCAGTGTCTGGGCAGAACAATGGGGGTGGAGACGCTCCTTCAGGTATACTGGACCGAGGCCGATTAGGGCTTTAAAGGTCAGCACCAACACTTTGAATTGTGCTCGGAAACGTACTGGGAGCCAATGTAGGTCTTTCAAGACCGGTGTTATGTGGTCCCGGCGGCCACTCCCAGACACCAGTCTAGCTGCCACATTCTGGATTAATTGCAGTTTCCGGGTCACCTTCAAATGTAGCCCCACGTAGAGCACGTTGCAGTAGTCCAAGACTCTGCTAACCCAGAAATATTACCTTGGGTTAAGAATTTTGCTTAAGGATGAGAACAGAAATCGTGCTCCGGCGGCACGGCAGCAGCGGGAGGCCCCATTAGCTAAAGTGGTGCTTCAGGTTAAGTACAGTTTCAGGTTAAGAACAGACCTCCGGAATGAATTATGTACTTAACCCGAGGTACCACTGTATTTAATTTCAGCAACGTTTCTGCACGATGCGTGCTTCCCAGCCATGCCCGGAAATAGTTCTGTCTGTTAGCCATGATGCAATGTTTGGAAATGGGTTTTTAAAATAATTTCACGCGATCTCTGGATTTTTTTGTGTTGCATTTCCAGGATTGATGAGAAGTCTAAAAGATACCTCAACCCTTTCCTAAAGCAAGGGAAAAAATCACCAGTAGGACACTATAGCATCAACCTGACAGCATCGGTAAGCTCTTTAAAACAAAATCTCCAGTGAAAGCAGGCATGCTTCAGAGACTCTGTCACGGGACGCCTTGTTCTTAATGCCTGTCCTAGGTTTGAATTCAGTTCCTTTCTCTTTGTCTGAGAGTTGGTTGTGTTGCAATTCTTGGCTAACGTCCTAATGCAAGCATCGTGTTCTGTTTGAAGTGCATGATATAAAAACAATATGGGTGGTTGGCTTTGCTGCCCAGCTCCCCAAGGGACTGATTCCCCTAAGTCCATGATCAGTCAGAGATGTTTATTTATTTATTTATTTATTTATTTATTTATTTATTTATACATACCCCGCCCATCTGGCTGGGCTTCCCCAGCCACTCTGGGCGGCTTTCAACAGAATATTAAAATACAGTAATGCATCAAACATTAAAAGCTTCCCTAAACAGGGCCGCCTTCAGATGTCTTCTAAAAGTCTGGTAGTTGTTGTTCTCTTTGACATCTGGTGGGAGGGTGTTCCACAGGGCGGGTGCCACTACCGAGAAGGCCCTCTGCCTGGTTCCCTGTAACTTGGCTTCTTGCAGTGAGGGAACCGCCAGAAGGCCCTCGGAGCTGGACCTCAGCGTCCGGGCAGAACGATGGAGGTGGAGACGCTCCTTCAGATATGAATGGATGGAGGCAGGAGACAGTGAAAGCAAGGCAGATCTTTATTATTCTGTTGCAACAGAGTTCCCTCCCCCTTGGCAAGGGAGCAAGAGAGACCCAGAACCCAGAAGAAAACATTTCTTTTAAGGGTTTTCATTTTGGCGTGGAGAAGGCAGACATCCTCTCTACAAAAAGTCAGAAATTATATCCTACTTAAGGTGAGGTTACTGTGGCTCAGACAGGCCAAGGTGTGATTTTCCTGAGGATTTAGCAAGTTTTACATAGTTCCAGACACAGTTTACACAAAACGTTAGCCTTTCATAAAACCATGGGTAGGCAAACTAAGGCCCGGGGGCTGGATATGGCCCAACCGCCTTCTCAATCCGGCCCACAGACAGTCCAGGAATCAGCATGTTTTTACATGAGTAGGATGTGTCCTTTTATTTAAAATGCGTTTCTGAGTTATTTGTGGGGCATAGGAATTTGTTCATTCTCCCCCCCAAAAAAAAAATATAGTCTGGCCCCCCCACGAGGTCTGAGGGACAGTGGACTGGCCCTCTGCTGAAAAAGTTTGCTGACCCCTGGATAAGACCATCGAGATGCCCCTCAGACATCCCTCAATGTTGAGCATCTGGGCAAACAATGAAAATTAATACAAAGGATATAGGAGAGGAATCCCTTCAGGAACTTCCCCTGGTTGCTCTCTGCTTACATGTTCTCAAGCAAGGTGGATGAAGGAGGCAGAGGAAATACTGAGAGTCTTTAGGAAAGCCAAGATGGCTTTGGTTTGTTACAGGGACGTGTGTGGCGCTGTGGGTAAAAGCCTCAGCGCCTAGGGCTTGCCGATTGAAAGGTCGGCGGTTCGAATCCCCGCGGCGGGGTGCGCTCCCGTTGCTCGGTCCCAACCTAGCAGTTCGAAAGCACCCCTGGGTGCAAGTAGATAAATAGGGACCGCTTACTGGCGGGAAGGTCAACGGCGTTTCCGTGTGCTGCGCTGGCTCGCCAGATGCAGCTTTGTCACGCTGGCCACGTGACCCGGAAGTGTCTGCGGACAGCGCTGGCCCCTGGCCTCTTGAGTGAGATGGGCGCACAACCCCAGAGTCTGTCAAGACTGGCCCGTACGGGACCTTTACCTTTACCTTACTATTTTTGACATGCAGTTTATATACTTACCGTACTTTTTCGTGTATAAGACGATGGCTTTTTCTTTTAAAATGATGTTAAAAAAGTGGGGCGGGGACGTCTTATACACAGTCAGTGCATATTGGCGACATGGGATTGGTTGCTTCCGCTAGCCGGAGATTGTCAGAGGCTATTGTGCATGTTATTGGTGGCTGAGACAAGGACTGGTGTTGATTTGCTGTCGCTGCGGCAATTGGGCAGGCGATTGGCGGCTTCTGCCAGCGAGGGGACAGGCGATAGGCGGCTTTTGTGGGTGAGCAATTTCCGGCAACTCCCCCCCCCCAAAAAAAACGCTCAACAACTCTGGGCAATCCTCCCCCAAAAAAGCTCAAAAACTCTGGGCAATGTGCCCCCATTTCCTTAAGTTGGAGTCCCCAAAAAATCTTATACATGGGGTGGGATTATACACAGAAAAATATGGTACAGTGGTGCCTCGCAAGACGAAATTAATTCGTTCCGCGAGTTTTGTCGTCTTGCGATTTTTTTTCGTCTTGCGAAGCACAGTGTCGGGAAAGTTTTGGAAAAGCTTCAAAAATCACCAAAGTCTTTAAAAACCTCAAAAAAGGCTACCACACCGCGTTCTATGAGTTGCTCCTCAAAGTCAAGTCGCAACTGTATTAACGGTGTTAAGAAAAAGGAAACAAACTTGCAAGACGTTTCCGTCTTGCAAAGCAAGCCCATAGGGAAAATCGTCTTGCGAAGCAGCTCAAAAAACAAAAAACCCTTTCGTCTAGCGAGTTTTTTGTCTTGCGAGGCATTCGTCTTGCGAGGTACCACTGTATGTGTGTGTGCAATTACCAGCGTTTATTCTGGATTCAGGTAGGTTGGTCTGAAGCGATCGAAATATATAAAAGAAATAAAATAAATGGACAATTATTTTTTTAAAAAAATTATATTTCGACAACATTCTATATTTGAGACCTTAGAATTCCTATAACAGGCAGAACTATGGCTCAGTGTCAGAGTGCATGTAGGAGGGTCCCAGCATTTTCAGGCAGGACTGGGAGAAACCCCCACCTGAAACGGTACTGGATATCTCCACTGGCTCCTTCCTCCACGGCTTCCTCCTTCTCAGCCTCGGGGGACATCGCACCAACTGGGCTGATTTGCTTTCAAAATCTAGACTGCTTTTGAACATAGCTGTCAACCGTCCCTTAATTGGTGGGAAACTCCCTTATCCCAGCGCCGTGCCCCGCTGCTGTCCCTTATTGATGATGTCCCTTAAATTTCCCGGGTTTCAAAGGAAGCAGCTCCTCTCCCTCCCTCCCTGCCGGCCAGGGAGGAGGGAGGCTCCAACTGTGTTGCTTGGCTGCGTTGCTCACCCAATAAGGAGTCTAAGAACGACTGGGGGGTGGAGCTTGCATGCCTGTGCCGATCAAATCGGCCTCGTTGCCTGGGGGCTCGCCTTTGCTCAGCGCTTCCCAGCGGAGAGGTGATGGTGGTTTTCCTTGCTGCATCCCCTTTGCCGGGTTGCTGCGCTGTGGGAACCACCGCTTGAGGCTTCGTTTGGCTGCTGGCTGGGCTTTCTGCCTTTGGCTTGGAGGGGCTCAGAAGTTGAACATACCGTATTTTTCGCTCTATAACACGCACCTGACCATAACACGCACATCGTTTTTAGAGGAGGAAAACAAGGAAAAAAATTCTGAATGAAACAGTGGATGTATCATTTTTGTGCTTCATGCTGTGGCCACAGACATGTGATCTGATGGTGAATTTGGGGTAGCTCAATGCAAAGATCCTGAGGATCCATGTGGATCCATGCTTTTTAACCACATTTTTGCACCATTGCAGCCCCAGGCAACAGTGGGTGTGTGATTTTTGGGGGGCAGGCTGCTGTGTGATCTGATGGTGAATTTGGGGTGGCCCAATGCAAAGATCCTGAAGATCCATGTGGATCCATGCTTTTTAACCACGTTTTTACACCATTGCAGCCCCAGGCAACAGTGGGTGTGTGATTTTTGGGGGGCAGGCTGCTATGTGATCTGATGGTGAATTTGGGGTGGCCCAATGCAAAGATCCTGAGGATCCATGTGGATCCATGCTTTTTAACCACGTTTTTGCACCATTGCAGCCCCAGGCAACAGTGGGTGTATGATTTTAGGGGGGCAGGCTGCTATGTGATCTGATGGTGAATTTGGGGTGGCCCAATGCAAAGATCCTGAGGATCCATGTGGATCCATGCTTTGTGACTACATTTTAAGTGGGGAGTGAAGGAAAAACACAGAAGGGACAAGAGAGCGGTGTGCAGAGAAGCAGCTGGCTAAGAAAGCAGGAGAGGGATTTTACGGGAGGGAAGAAAGAAAGGCAAAAGTTTCCACAAACCGAAGCCAGCTTTCTCTCTCCTCCTGCATGTTTTCTGGCTGCCTGCAAGGAGCACGGAGAGGAATTAGAAGGAAAGTCCTCTGCTTTCCCCTCTGCTTGCCTGGAGGGGAGGGGATTTGCCTGCTCTTTGTTCCGTTTGAGCAAACACAGCAACGAAACAGAGGAGGGTGGGCAGTAAGACCCTGAGGCAGAATGCAGGAAAGCAACCACTTCCTCTTTTCAGGTTTCCCTCTCCGACACAACGCACGGTTGATTTTTGCTGATTTTTGTTCCTGTGCTCCCCTAATCGGCTCCAGGGACCCCCCACATTCGCTCTATAACACGCACAGACATTTCCCCTTCCTTTTTAGGAGAAAAAATCTGCGTGTAATAGAGAGAAAAATACGGTACCTATGTTAGAAAAATCCCTTATTTTGGCTGCTGATCCCTTATTTTCGAGGCCGCTGGTCCCTTATTTTCAAATCTGTAAGTTGACAGCTATGCTTTTGAATAGTATCTCTCTTGGTCCAGATCTCGTTCCTGTCTGGAGCCTAGCATATCTGAATGAAACTCTGCTTTTAACCATTCCTGCCTTGGCCAGTCAGATGAGGGAGCCCAGAGATAGTGGATGTTGGTACTTTGTATAATCTCTGTACGTTATGGAAAGTAGCCTTTAAAAAAGTACTAAATGTAGACCACGGATTAGAGTTGTTGTTTTTTAAAAGCAACTTTTTCTTCATGTTTTCTCCAATTAACGGCTTGGTAACAGGTCTCGAATGAAAACAACGTTCTTCAGACAAACAAGAAAAGATGGGAGTTTTCCAAAACAGATGTACGTTTGCCAGAGCTTAACTACGGCTATCTCCCTGAACTCAAAGGTGTGGACGGTAAGAGTTCATGATGGATATCCAACCAATTATGGGATCTAGCAGCTAAATAATAATGATACAGTGGTACCTTGGTTCTCAAACTTAATCCGTTGAAGAAGTCCATTCCAAAACCAAAGCATTCCAAAACCATGGCGCGCTTTCCCATAGAAAGTAATGCAAAACGGATTGATCCGTTCGAGACTTTTAAAAACAACCCCTAAAACAGCAATTTAACATGGATTTTACTATCTTACGAGACCATTGATTCATAAATGAAAGCAATGATCAATGTACTGTACTATAAAATAAATAAAACGGTATTGTAGATGATAAAAACTAAAATTAAATTTTTTTCTTACCTGCGCTGATCATTGTCTGGATGGGGGGCTTTTATCCATTTCTGCTGTCGCAATCAATCAGTAACTGAACTGGGATCCACACAGTCACAAAAACAAATTAACTGAAAAAGCCTCAAAACAAAAAACGCAAAATAAATAGCAAAAACGAAAGCACCAAATATCAGCTCCAAATATCGCGTCAGAACACTGCAACCAGAAACAGAAGGTTTGAATTACAATGGGGGAGGGACATAAATTAGCAGTGCAACAGGAAACACAGGGGGACTCAAAATGGAGCACGTTCGGCTTCTGAAAAATAGTTCGAAAACCGGAACACCTACTTCCGGTTTTGCAGTGTTTGGGTTCCAAGTTGCTTGTGAACTAAGCTGTTTCGAAAACCAAGGTACCGCTGTAATTTTTGTTTAAGAAATGGGAAAAACATGAACCACGATTGAACTTTATGAAATTAGACTGTCCATAGGAAAGTAAAAGTACGTATTTAAGTGTATGAAGTTTTGCCGTCCCCTTAGCCAGACACACAAAAGTTGTGAATAAGCAGTTGAGAGAAACGTGTTGTTAGATTCAGCTTTGATGTTTTACATTCCTGGGATAGTTCTTGGAATTACTGATGTGCTTCCAACTTGCACAGATAAGTTCATTCCAAAAATGCGCTAATTGATGCATGTGTACAAATGCTCAGCCCATAATGATCCACCCATCGGCTTGTACAGGAGTTGTAAGGAATCACGGTGCTTACCTGGCAAGAGTGATCTTTAGTCCAGGTTTCCCCATCCCTGCTTTTTGCGGTCAAACTTCTACAAAAAAAGGGCGTGGAAATGGGGGCGGAGTGGGGGGAACCAGCTAAGCAGATGTGAACCACGTTCAGATAAACACACGTAAATATCAAAATAGCTTTCAATGTTTGTGTAAGCCAAATCAAAAGAAAAATGTGTTACTTGCGAGCCACAGCAAGAAGAGACTACTTTCGCAAGAAAAGAATGACGATAAGATGATGTGAAAACAAATTGTCTTGCCTTCGTCCGTAGCTCGGAATTCCAGATTTCTGAAGAAAGAAAACAAAATTGTTTCCGAGTCTCGCATGCCGTCTCTCGCCACAATAGACCTTCAGAACCCAAGCCTTGCCCTGCACCAGGTACTAAATCTCTCAGAGGTTGGGAAGGAGAGGGTAAGTCTCCAGCTATTGAGCTAGTAAGTCATCTCTGTAAGATGCCTATCTCTGCAGTCCACGGGGCTCGTAGGATGCAGGGTGTGCCTTAGAGAAGTGCCCAAGCCACAGAGGTCCAGGTTGAACCCAGTTGGCCCTTGTGCCATGTGACTCCTGTTGGCTTCTGAGAAACCCCTGCTTGGAGACTCTTGGGAATACAGTGGTGCCTCGCAAAACGAAAATAATCCGTTCCGCGATTCTCTTCGTCTAGCGGTTTTTTCGTCTTGCGAAGCAACCCTATTAGCGGATTAGCGCTATTAGTGGTTTAGCGGCTATTAAAGGATTAGCGGCTTAGCTGCTAAAAGGCTATTAGCAGTTTAGCGGCTTAGAAAAAGGGGGGGAGCGGGGGGGGGGAAATCGCAAGACCAGCAAGACGTTTCGTCTTGCAAAGCAAGCCCATAGGGAAAATCGTCTTGCGAAGCAACTCAAAAACGGAAAACCCTTTCGTCTAGCGGGTTTTCCGTCTTGCGAGGCATTCGTCTTGTGGGGCACCACTGTAGAGATGGAGATTTGTAGTGTTTTGATATGCCAACGTTCATTCTCCTTGCCCTGCCTTTTAGAAAGCAACAGAGCCTATAATTATAATAAGAATTTATTATTTATACCCCGCCCATCTGGCTGACTTTCCCCAGCCATTTTGGGCGGCTCTGTTAAAAACAACACACCATTAAATATTAAAAGCTTCCCTAAACGGGGCTGCCTTCAGATGTCTTTTAAAGATAAGATAGCTGCTTATTTCCTTCACATCTGAAGGGAGGGTGTTCCACAGGTGGGCGCCACTACCGAGAAGGCCCTCTGCCTGGTTCCCTGCAACGTGTGAAACACCCTTCCATCAAATGTCAAGGAAATAGACAACTATCTGACATTTAGAAGACATCTGAAGGCAGCCCTGTTTAGGGAAGCTTTTAATGTTTGAGGTTTTATTGTATTTTTAATCTTTTGTTGGGAGCCACCCAGAGTGGCTGGGGAAACCCAGCTAGATGGGTGGGGTATAAATAATAAATTATTATTATTATTATTTTTAAGGGGGTTATGTAAAAGAAATTTAAATTCACAGGGAGTAGGTCTTTTTGTTTTTAGAATGAGATTTTTATTTTAAAATTTCCATAATACAGTAGAATAGCTGCTACCAAAAATACATGTCGAATAAGTAGAAAATTGAGGCCTCTCTAAAAGTAATTATTAGCTCTTGCCACCCACAGAGGATAGTAGCTGATCCCAGTTCTCATCTAATCTGGGGTCTTTCCTTTCCCCTCCCAGCCTCTCACCCTGGGAGACCAACATTTCCCTGTCAATCATTCATCTAGAGCAGGGGTCAGCAAACTTTTTCATCAGGGGGCCAGTCCACTGTCCCTCAGACCTTGTGGGGGGCCGGACTATGTTTTTTTTGGGGGGGGGAAATGAATGAATTCCTATGTCCCGCAAATAACCCAGAGATGCATTTTAAATAAAAGGACACATTCTACTCATGTAAAAACACGCTGATTCCCGGACCGTCCACGGGCCAGATTGAGAAGGCGATTGGGCCGGATCCGGCCCCCGGGCCTTAGTTTCTCTACTCATGATCTAGAGAATAGGTCTATCAATGGCTGTTAGCCGTCTTGTATGGCACTTCCATATTGGGAGATAATATTTTAAGAGGGCCTCCAAGCGGTTTATGGAAATACCTCTGAATATCAGTTGCCACAGACAGATGTGGTTTGATGGAAACCCAATTAAAATTTACTCAATTTGCAGGTATCTGGAATATCTCTGCAAGACGCTTCAGACTCCACTTTCCCCAGAGTAGAGCATTAACGTCAAGTGAGACGGAAGGGTCTCGATCCTGCAAGTGTCTGCAGTGCTTCTACACCCCTGTTGCCTTTTGGGAAGTGCAGAATCCCTTTGAGGAGGATATACATGGGAACAGGGGTGGGGCGTGTGTTTTCACCACATTCTAGGTAATGGCAGCAAAAGGAAACAAACATTCCCAGTTTCTTTACAGTTGCCAAGGTGCTATAAGACTATAATGTATATAAAATGTCATCTGGATTGAATTATTTCAGTGCGTCTGGGGGAAACGATACCAGTCATGGCAGTGTCAGGCTTTTATGAGTTTTGAGTACTGCCCGGCGTCTTTTCCCGGAAGAGGTCTGGGAGTAACGTAGCTATTTTTTCAGAATCCTAGTACAAATGTGAAGCGCTTCAGTACTTGAACGGCTCCCTGGCACTCGTTACACTTTCTCCAGGAAAGAATCTTTCGTCACATGCAAATATTGTCAAGTGAGACGTGGAAATGTGTGTTTGTAAACTGCTAAGCATGATGTGCTGGTTTCCTGCCTCAAACTTCCTCACGGGGAGTCTGCTTTTGTGTTTTGCAAACGTGCGTTTCTTGCTTGGCGGAGCTTTCCATTCTAGAATCCCACAGCGTATGCCGCAAACTCCCTTTCTGTATAATGCGCAGATCAAAGCCCTAAGAACTCAGTAATATTAAAAACGGCCTTTGCAAATTCCTCTTTCATCTTACGAGAAATGAATATTTCATACCTGCAGTATAGATATATTCATCTGTGAGGCCAGTGCTACAGGAGTAGCTTTGTCAGAAACAGCTTGCATGATGCTGCAATGTTAGATCATATAGTTTTTGCAATCTCTAAAGGAAAGAAAGGATTTTAACTGTTGTCAATGCTGACTTGTGCATGTGGTGGCTACATAACAGATTACTTCTAAGTAGTTCTCCTCGGGTTCCCACTAACCATAATAAGATGTGTATACTGATTGCTGCTCAGATTGTAAGAGTACCTGAAATCTTCTGTAGCAGTTATGTACGTCAGGAGGTCCTACACACGAGTAAGAGTCTGGCAGAGACACATGCCCGACTGGCATGTTCTCTTCCTCCTGGTTGGTTGTTCGGGAGATTCAAAAGCTTTCTCTAGCCCGAACATCACAGCGACTGATACCTCATAGCATAGCTGCCAACGTTTCCCTTTTTTAAAGGGAAATTCCTTTATTCCGAATAGGATTCCTCGCAAGAAAAGGGAAGTTGACAGCTATGCCTCAGAGGCATCAGCACACTTCAGGATCGGCAGAGTATAGGCAGTCAGCGTTCAGATTCAGTAGCGCAGCATTTTGGCTAAACTATGTTTATTTACGTATACGTTTATTTCCCTATGTTTAGGGAAGCTGTTAATGTTTAATGTATTACAGTATTTTAATATTTTTTTGGAAGCCGCCCGGAGTGGGTGGGGAAGCCCAGCCAGATGGGCGGGGTATAAATAATAAATTATTATGATTATTATACACACTTGGAGCATCGTAACTCCGCTCCTTCCTCTTCAGCATCAGGCAGCAAAGCGAAAGGACAAATGTCCTACATCACGGAAACACAGTCATAAAATTATCCTGTCTCCATCACTTCCCACAATGTGGAATGAAAACATACACGGTCATGTGATAAAAATAATCCCATGACTGCAACACGTGGAATGAATCCTAACACTGTATACGTACATCTATGTTTCCTGGTAAGATTGCATAGATTCAATTCAACAAAAACATCATATCACTTCTTGTGGACTGCTTAGACGTTTCAATCAAGCGGTATATACATTTTGTTAGATAAATAAAAACATATGGATTCGCCCTTGTTCCTCATTTTCCCCTTCACTCATCCTAGGCTTGTAGCTCAAGCATGATGACTGTTTTATCCTGGTCCCGATTTTTTCTCAAGGATATTTTTGTGTAAATTGAAATAAATGCCATTCGTGTGCACATAATCCAGCCATATAGAGGGAATTGTGCACATTTCCTGGTCAGTATGCATAATCTTCCAACAGCCCTTTTCTTAATAGTGGCATTGTGGGGGGGGGGGGATTTCCATCAGAATTGTGAAAGAGGGAGGGAAGGTTTAGAAGCTGTGCTGAAAAGAGAGCTGGACTTTGGGGGGGGGGTTAATATATAGCTGGAGCCCCACCCCTTCTTATTGCTCTGTTGGAGGGTACGATTGTAAGAGTGTAAGAGTAGACATGGGGCCAGATCACACACCAAATTACACTTCAGGCTGCAGATTACACACTTCTGAACAAGAGATGGAGGGAGGAAAGGCATGTTGTTATTATTACGGTAATTTTTATTGAATTTCTATACCACGCTTCATCTGAGGATCACAGGGCGGTTTACAATATAAAAACACAAAAATAGATAACAGTACCAATTGAAAAAATAATACCCCCCTCCATAATTTAAAAGGCCATAGATTGGCTAAGGCCTGGGAGAAGAGGAATGTTTTTGCCTAGCGCCTAAAGATATGTGACGAAGACACCAGCTCAGTGACCCTGGGGAAGAGTATTCCACAAGCCGGGGGCCACTGCAGGAAAGGCCCTGCTCTCGTGTTGCCACCCCCAGACGTCTTGTGGAGGACGCACACAAAGAAGGGCCTCAGAGGATGATCTCAGGGTCCGGGTAGGTTCATATGGGGAGAGGCGATCCTTGAGGTATGGCAGGTTCGAGCCTTTTAAGGCTTTATAGGTCATGCTTCTTGGAGAATCTGCATACTGACTGGAGAATGTGTTTATAACCCAGTGAATGCACAAAATGCATTTGAGATATTCACTTTCCCCAAAGCCTGTTAGAGATTATGCATGATGGCTGAAGAACGTATAAAAATGCAGTTGATTATATGCACATTTCTCAAGGCCTGTTGGAGATTATGTATGATCGACCAGGAAATGTGCAGAGCTCCCACTTTATGGCTGGATTATGTGCACATTCTCCATGATTTCTGGTGAATGTACAGCCGCCCCCCGTCCCGGATAATGTGAATTGACAATAGGCCTTTCTAAAGAGCTTATCTGAGAAACCTCATCCAAGAAGTTGGAAAACTCTTGTCTGTAAATAATCTGTATCTGCAAGTGCTTTTCTTTGTAGCTCAGCCTTCTTAGCACGTTTGCAAGCTCTGGGCGCTGTTGACGTTTTAAGTGTATAGATATGTGATGCTATAAAGCACTGTATACATTGGTGGGACAATAATAACAATATATGTAGCATTTTATATCTACAACACAGATTTAAACTGGTTTGATAGTGATTCCTTCTCACCACCAGACAAATTGGGAACTGGAATTCTTTAGAGTGAATTCTCAATGCTGTACACAAGCTGTAGTTCCCAGTTCTTTGGGGGAAGCTGTGATGGTTAAACTGGTATAAAACCAATACATTTTTACAGTACAGAAATGTCATTTGTGTTTCCTGTTGGAGTGATCTTGTCTCCACTTTTAAGAAAAACACAAAAACATGTGGATCATATTGCTATGCAGTCAAGTCATTGGGCAATGCAGCTAACAAGGCTAGCTTTAAATGAGCAAACTGTGTTTTATTTTCTAAAGCTTCTTAGGATCTTAAGCATGGAAGCTGCTTGCTCGACTAATTTCAAGGCGGCAAATTTGGAAAAACAAAATTGTACCTCATTTGTTCTCAGTATTACATTGTTAACGGTATGTTCCCAACTGTTTTATTGAAAAGATATGATGGAAATTACATTTTTAAATAATAAACAAGGACTATCATGGTGCGGCCAAGTCATAAACCCAGCTTTCTTAACATAATTGCTTCAGATACCGCCCAGCCTCCTGACTGGCCGCTCTTGGTAGAATTGAAACAAATATGTCTTGGGTTAGCTGACTGGAAAGCTCACATCACCACCCAATATGTCCCTTGTTCTCCATTTCTGCTACTTTATTTTGTCTTCTTAGAGTAATAGTCTCCGTTGACAAACTCACTTTTTATTGCAAATTTTAAACGATCGACCAATCTGCGGTAGCATTTGGTTTTATAAAGTAGCTTTGATCTCTGTGTCAGTGTCTACAGGCTTTTCCCACCATGAACTATTGTTTTGCTATAATGTGCATTCCTTCAGACGTGACAGGGAAATTTGAATAATGCATGTCAAGGTTTGTTTATTAGGCATATTGCAAGATGGTACCCAGAGTGCCAGTGTGGTTGATATTTATGCTGGTTGAGTGGAATTGCTTTACCAAAAGAATGAGTTGCAAGTCACCACACTTGACCTGTTCAAATTGTAACCAACTCTTTAATCAACAACTTGCACTCGTAAGCAGTGCTTTTTTTCTGGAAAAAAATGTTTAGGGGTACTCTCATTTTCCTACTCACATTGAAATACTCCCCCTCAGTGAGGCCAAAGTTAGATTCACAAAATGTTTAGGGGTGTGCGTACCCATGCGTTCTGCCAGAAAAAAGACCTACACTGGCTCCCAGTACATTTCCAAGCACAATTCAAAGTGTTGGTGCTGACCTTTAAAGCCCTAAACAGCCTTGGTCCAGTATACCTGAAGGAGCATCTCCACCTCCATCGTTCTGCCCTGAGGTCCAGCGCCGAGGGCCTTCTGGCAGTTCCCTCGCTGCGAGAAGCCAAGTTGCCTTTAAGAACAAATAAAGGCAAATGCTAAGTACTAGCATGTTTATTGGAAGTTCTTCCTACCTTCTAGAACAGGCTTCCTCAACCTCGTCTCTCCAGATGTTTTTGGCCTACAACTCCCATGATCCCTAGCTAGCAGGACCAGTGGGCAGGGATGATGGGAATTGTAGTCTCAAAACATCTGGAGGGCCGAGGTTGAAGAAGCCTGTTCTAGAAAGTGTTATCTTCAGTCCTGCCGCCTTTAACTGACATGAGCTATTGCCTCTTATTTTAGAAAGCATTTCTCACTGGTCTGTTAAAAATGGGTGTATATTTTTAAATGTAATCTCCTGTCACCGGAACCTCTTTATACTGAATTTTGTTTCGAGGTGGTTGTTGTTTTTAAATTACTGATGGCAACATGCTTTTTACATGTGCTGGATATTTGTTTTTGATGCTGCCGTTACAGCTAATAAAAATCAATACTATTTGTGCCAGAAATAACTCTGCCTTCCTTGTGGAGTGGGAGGAAACTTCCTTTGCCAGGTGAAACGTCTGTCAGGATTTATGGTGAAACCTTCAGTATATATGTAATAAATTCTGTTTAACTCCTTTGTGGATTGTAAGATGTGCTTATTCTACACCCGAACCCTCTCCGAGGTGACATGAAGTAGCATCATCTTTATACAAATATATACCTCTCCCCTCAGAAGTGTTACCACAAAAATACCATTTTGACTTCAACGCTTGCTTAATAACCTGTAATTTCTGAGCGCTGTGGCTTTGCAATGTTCAGACATGTACATCACATTCTTGTAAATAAAAGCCTTAATCAGATTTCTGTCTGGCTTTGATCACTATTTGGATAATTTATCCGAAAAAACCTGTGTTGCTAAAGGAACAGAATCCATTTATTTGAGCAGCTTGCAGTCCGTTCTGTTAGAATACGCAGCAGGGTGATTTGACATCAGCTCTACATGCTAAGAATGTGTAGATTTCAAAACCGCAAGTATTTTCAGAAGACTATTTCCGCGTAATGATACAGCGTCTAAATGTCCCGATAGGTTTGGACAAGCATCTCAGTTCTTCCTCTGGCAAGGAGTTGCCCGTGTATGCAAACCCAAGCCTCAAATAGATTGTTGTGGTCTCGTTGCCAACTTCTGATTTCATAAATTCTAAAACTGGGCAAGACCAGGGGGCAGAATTGGTGAAATTCAGCACGAGAGAAGCCAGTAGTGAAAAACCAAACTCGTTCTAGTTGCCCCTTTACCAGAGATCAAACCTTACAGAATCCCAGATAGTTTCCTTATAGAATTTCAGATTTCTGGGAGAAACATAACCGTTTGCTACAAAGAACCTTTTCCAACTGCATCTGAAAGGAATCTTGCTCACCTACTTGTTCACAAGTAGATCTTTATCCTAAATTCAGAAACTGG